GGCCCAAACCCAGCACCACCCAGGCCCAAACCCTGCACGACCCAGGCCCAAACCCAGCACCACCCAGGCCCAAACCCAGCACCACCCAGGCCCAAACCCAGCACCACCAGGCCCAAATCCATCCCTACTTCAACTACACTGCACATACAACCCCAACCACCCCACCCCACTCCACCTCCAACCCACACCCTACCAATTCCATCCCCACTCAAACCCAAACTATCCTCCACCTCACACCGCCTCCAACCCAATTTCAGCTCAAACCCCAACCCATCTCCTACCCATTCCACCCCCAATCCAATCCCAACTAACTTCCTCCCCACTCCACCTCCAATCCAATTCCAATCCAAACCCATCTCCTATCCGAACCAATCCCACCTTATCTAATGTCTTGTTCTTGTTGTTCTTGTTCTTGTTCTTGTTGTTCTTGTTCTTGTTGTTCTTTATTTTCTTCTTCTTCTTCGTCTTTCTTCTGATTATTTGGATATTCTTAAGTACCCCTCTCATAATGGATAGGATGATACATCAGGTTGTTAGTGATCATTGTGTTTATTCAATTATTTGTAGGGGTGGGGTCGACAACATATCACAACATTATTTCGGCTTAACACTAAACGTAAGAGTAATGAAGATTAAGCGATACTTGAACTCTTCCGGTAACTATACGACTTTTGATAGATTCGTCCTTGTGGTTTGTCGTGTTTCCATAATTACCGTGTGTATCAATTCGTCCATGTGTATCAATTCGGCCATGTGTATCGGTCAGGCCTGAGTCATCATTCATCAATGACAGGGGTAATGGTCAGTTACGGTCCGGTGTCGTGTGCGTCGAAGTGGACACTGGGATCCCGGATTCTCGCCACTGGTCATCTTTATTTGTCATTATGTGTATGCAACTGTTGTAACCATTCTAGATAGACCAGACCACCTCAATACAGTTTTATCCATTTGTCTTCATAAAATTACCTTCAATTTAAGACAAAATGTACAAAGGAACTATTTCAATGCAATAAACTTTGTGGGTTTTGCGGCAAATTAGAAAAATATATATATCGCTGTATATTATCCCTTTAAAAAGAATACAGCTCTAAAATTGTAATCGAAAGACTCACTTGTACTCTTTAATTTGCTTCGAACATCGATAAGTTCAGATTGTTTTACTGAGGAAAAATTAAAATTCCTAACGAGACTTGACCATAGTTAGCGTCGTCAAGTTGACAATTCTGATGTACAAATCAGGACGGCGTCATGCATGTTTTTGGGAGTGAGATATGTAGACAAGGCCCACGTGTAATACTATAGGGTTGCGTGCCATTGATTCACGATGAATGATCAACAATTAACGTTTTTTTTATTTACTGTACATAGCTTGACGAACCGTGAGGCGTAAATACAGCAACTAGTCGCACACCCACTCTATACAGACATGTAGGCTTAAATCACGAGCTCAACTAGCATAATTGGTATAAACATGACCTCAATCTGTAGTATATGTGACATTATTTAATGTATGTTAAGCCATTGTTGCATTACAAAAACACGCACAACTCTATATATAACTGAACGGTTCCTAATCGTTTAGCAGCTTCCGTCTCGATAGACGAAAGCATTGCTTTAAAAACAATCCTTGTATATTGGTGAAGAACACGAAGGTTTTGTATCATTAGTGCAAAACAGAATCAATGGACTTATAGTTATTTTTTCTAAACAGTACAAATGACAACTGACCATGGCAATGCTTGGCAAAGAAAGGCGTTTAATGTTTGAATATTTGAACGCCTTAGCTATTTGGTTAATGTAGACTGCCCCCCTCCCACCCCCGTCTCTAGAATATTGAATTATGTAGAAAAAAATTAACTCTTATAATTTTGATCACTTCGATGTCTGATTCTAGATTCTAAACTAGGGGGTGATCAGCTAGTAGTAAAATGCAGTTAAGAAACTCTTCATAAAAACTTAGGGGCTGGTAGCCAGTCTTTAGTTAATGGAGTGGTGCCAATTTGAGAATTCTGGTGACTTATGCTGACGCGCACCATAGAAAATGTTCATTGCCAACTGCGTTCAATGAAAGCCACTCCTTATATTAGTCCGAATTATTCTGACGTTTTATCGATTTTTTTAAAATCGGTCCGGCGTCGATTCACGTCAGAACTCCGGCCGTCTATAAAATGCGGGAAATACGCGACTCCTGTGATATCTAATGCTGCTAATTCTAGCACTTTCTTGGCGAAGTTATATTATCGCCATTTCACTTAAAAAGATAAAATAAATAAGGAAAGAAACTGTTTTCCTGTTAAAAAACTCGTATGGCAGAATATACCGATGTTTTCACTCGTAAAACATATAGGTATTCTACCATATTCGTGAAATAAACATAATAAACGGGGCCCCAATACATATCCTGTATGTTATAACAGTTGCAATAAACCCGTGTGGTAATTAATTACCATGGTAACAGAATTCTGTGATTACACGCCAATCTAATAGTTTTTCCCGAGGTAACGTACACGTACCATTTTGTTATTGACTAGTGTGGTACACATGTAACATTTAAAGTCATAAAGAAGAACACATTTCTCCTTTGTGAGATAAAACCTTTAATTGTGTATAATATCAGCCTAGTGATAGGTTTAGGCCCACTTGATAAAGCTATAAAGAGATGGGTCGCTCGGTATGATACCGGTGGAGGTGTGGTTGTAGTTGGCTTGTAGTGGAAGTTCGATCACTTCGGCAACACCTCCACATACCCTTGTTGCGATCTGGAACATGAAGAAATGTAAATCACTTAGTGTTATATATAACAGATATACATGACGTACATTGTTGTACTTGTAATCTTCGAAATTCTTCTTCTCGGAACAATTAAAATGCATTTTTAATTTATTTCCGTCTACGCCATATAAACTTTAAATGCGTTCATAATAAGGTATAACCCTTTGTTGGCTGTATTTTGAGATTTGCGTCGATATATCAACTAGCTCTTGAACTAGCTCCGCACCGCGTCTCCAGTAAAACGGATGTTGGCGACAGTATTTCCCGAAAGTTAATTATGAAATAGGGAGATATATTTAACGCAGCATGGTGGTATTACAGGCGATATGTTCACACGTGTCTTTATTTGGTGTTCGATATCAATGCCCTGTATTGAGCATTAATATATATCCAATTTCAAAAGTGAAGGAAAATTTTATAGATGAAAGCTAGTTTAATGAGCATACGTTGGTATGACCAATAACAAACAGCTACATTCAGTTAATTATCACCTTTCATTATTTTCAAACACTTCATTCAATTAACGAAAACGTCAAATACAAATTATGGTGTTGCTTTATTTTGACTTCACCACTCCAGGCATGGTAAAACATAAGAACATATTTCGGCACTGCAATGGGTAATCCGGTGTCTCCCATTGTGTCCAATTTGTTCGTGGGACATCTGGAGCAAGAAGCAATAGCCACTACCCCCGTAGAATGCAAGCCTAGCTTAAGGAAACGATATGTTGACGACATACTTGAGATAATCAAGAAGGGGTCACAGAAAGATTTGACCACACATATCAACACTATAGATGCCACTAACAACATCAAATTTACATGTGAGGAGGAAACCAACGGCACAATGCCTTTCCTAGACACTCTACTGGTAAAGAAAGAAGACGGAACCGTGAAAGTATTGGTCAATAGAAAAAAGACCCATACGGACCAATACATGAACTTCAAATCTCACCATCCTTTGCACCAGAAGTTCGCACATTGCTCAACAGATGTGATATAATAGTCACAGAACAACAGGACAAAACACAAGAGCAGAATCACATCGCTAGGGCAATGAGAACATGTGCACATCTTGAATGGGCCCTAAAACGGGTACAAAAACCGTGTCAAAGTAAGGGGAAGAACAAGAAAATGCCTATCAAGGATAAGAACTAAACCAAAGGTTAAGTGGTTATTCCGTATATAAAGGGTAAATTCGAAATCATCCAGAGGGTATATCGCGGTCATGGCATAGCAACAGCCATGAAGCCCCACAAGACGCTTCGCAATATCTTAGTACACCCTAAGGATAGAAAAACCTAAAGAAAACGTCGCAGAATGCGTATAAAAAATCGGATGCAAAAACAGCGACGCATCGTTCATTTGAGTGATTGGAAGGCGATTTCGGGTCCTCCTTGGTACCCACCGGAAATATACGGAAAGCCAATAAGGTAGAAAATTCACCAGATCAAAAAGGAAGCAGTCGGAGCCGCAGTTAAATAAATAAACATTCACAGATCATGCCACACAAAAAAAAATCATGTGACTGACTGGGATAAGTACACATTTTACACCTTTGTGCGCATACGCTTCATTGGTCATTTGTCTGATGAATGTGACAGTGTACATATCGTACTAATCATCGAAACGTCACATAGAAAAACAATTGGTTGTGTAAGAAGAACTTTTTATAATCCATTCTTACCTACCTGAAGATAATGTTTAGAAATTTAAGAATATGTTATTTTTGTCTCACCTTGAATCCGGTGTGTTGGGCATTGCATCCAACAAATATGCCGGCGAATCCAAGAACGGTCCCGTTGCCATAGTGATGATTATTAAACGTTCCAACTGGTAGATACTGTTGGGTAGTTATGTTTGGGCAGTAGTGTAATACCTAAACAAAGCAATAATTATTAATTATTTCTGTTACATAAATACTTTGTGATATCATTATCTGAGTTTAGGTGAGTGTACATGTGAAACAAGGGCTAACGAAATTCAGGAGGCTGGTCCATTCCTGGGTTGGCCCCATCTGCCTTTGCAATATCTGCAAAGAGTGATACTTCATACTGTGCCCTGGTTACCTCTGCCACATGACATTTTGGAATGTGTGATACTTTTATTGTCTTATTTCATTTTTTATATGTTTTAATTCTATTCTATATTTTGAAGCATCTTATTTGTGTTTTAATTCCATATATTCTAAAATATAAATTTTAATAAAACTTGATAAATTTTGTTCATTGATTTCGGTATCATTTTTAATTCACACTATAATTGTGTATATTCTGTCAATTTTTATTCTTTGCTATATTAGCATTGTATGTATATTTCACTTCATAGTGTTTTAACCCGAAGTCCTAAGTAATTCTTGTGTGATATACAGATATTCATTCAATATTAACTATGTCTTTTATTTACTTATTCTGAATATTACTTATCTGTGATCACATTTAATGCTTTTCATATATTAACACTATTTTTATATATTTTTTTGTTCCAAAAGGGTCATATCCCGGGGGCTTTGTAGGTAGGGGACTCCCAATTACTTAGAAACCTGGTATACATGTATGTATACTTTCTTTTTCTGTGATGATTATCACTGTTTTTAATTAATATATGTGATTATCTCCCTTTACTTTTAATATCATATGTTATTGTTGTTTTACATATGTTTGTCGCAATAATAGCTCTCAAGAGCTGATGTTCCTTGTTTACCTGTATGCGACGTTAAATAAAGTTTCTTGTATCTGTCAAGAGGAATCTAAGGGACTCTACTCATACAATGCAAATACTCTCTAGGAAAAAAAACTGCCGAAAAAGAAAAGAAAAAAAATGAAAAAAACCCTTTAACATTGAACAACTACTGAATTGAGATTGCGATGAAAAACTCGTCATACTATAACAATATGCTAATTTATTTACAAAAAAGGTAACTGTTGCGTGAATTGTATTTAAAATAACGTAATAATATATAAATATAAAGATATACATGTATCTAAACAGTACAATGTCCTATACTAACTAAACGTACACATAAACTAATTCGATAATAATAATATGACCTTTTATGATTAATAATAATCGAAGAAAACAAATTAAGAGTGATATGGCCTTTATAAAACAAATAATGATAGTTTAGTTAAACCGAATTTATTACAAAAATGATCCCTCCTCAATACCAGCAAAACTTAGTTTCCGTCAGGCCATCGAACTTTAATTTTTAGAAATAAGTCAGTGTCTGAATACATGCATATCTTAAACAACATATCTGGTTTAAGAGCGGCTTCAAACTCACACAACTTTTATACGTTTAGTAGCTTCGTAGAGTTTGCGCAACACTATATGTGTGTAAATTAATTTATGTATTATTAGAGATTGCATTATATTTATATGGTGTAAAGCATTATGGAAAGGGCGTTTATAAGTTGCTACAACCTATGCCCAATCCTTTTGTAATTATATTACAATACAATGTGTTTAAACTTTAAACTAACACTATATGCAAGATATGGAATACGACCTTGGCCCCTTCGTGCCATAGGCGCGTGTTGTTCGGAGCAGCGCAATGATCCGTTAGGAAACCCTCGGTCTCCGTCTTCCAATTGTCTAGGCAAGTTGTCTTAGAAGTGGTGTCGATTTCTGCTAGCGCGTGCAAAACAGACAACTTGTTGCATTGATGAAGGATTGCTCCTAAGGAAAGGACAAACATATTTATAATTTGTTACATCACGAATTGAAAGGTAAACCAAAACCCACAAACGAAGAATGCATATAGTTATATACATGTATGTGTATTTTATTCCTTTCATGCTGAACTTAGATATTTCAGAGGAGGCGCACAATGAAATATTGTTGTTTTTTTACGGGAATACGGATTGCAACATAGGATATCATTTATAAATACGAGAATCTTCCAAATAGCTACGTGTTCAATATAAATAAGAAAATAAAGAAAACAAAGTCATAATATGATAATATTGATCATTAATTGTCTAGTCGGTGGATGTGTACAACATTGAGCATCTTATAAATCCACGAGCCATCAAACCCTAACGAGTTACCTCCCCGTCGAACAACCAACACTATCCAACAGGCATCAATGTCGCTCTCTGTACCCCTTGAATATGTCATAGCAAAATTGAAGGCACTCGACTAGGTATTTGATAAATCTCAGGTAAAGATACCTGCCATTTGAAGATTGTAGAGAAGCGACACCCGACTTCAAAGCCAGTAAATTTCACCGTTACGCGACCACAAGATTCTTTTGATGTTCATCAAAGAATCCAACTTATCTTCTTTGATAATAATATTCCAAATGGTGGTGCACAGTGAGCCTTTGAATTTGCTATGACATATTCCAGAGTGCAGATATTTTAAGTTAGCATATTCCTAGGGTACCGAGAATGTCTTACAGGCGAATAAATACAGTCACACAAGCGATTCACACTCTCCACCACCTCGAATAATACAGTCACACGAGTGATTCACACTCTCAACCACATACAATAATACAGTCACACGAGTGATTCACACTCTCAACCATATACAATAATAAGTCACACAAGCGATTCACGCTCTCAACCTCATACAATAATACAGTCACACAAGCGATTCACACTCTCAACCACATACAATAATACAGTCACACAAACGATTAACACTCTCAACCACATACAATAATACAGTCACACAAGCGATTCACACTCTCAACCTCATACAATAATACAGTCACACAAACGATTCACACTCTCAACCAAATACAATAATACAGTCACACAAGCGATTCACACTCTCAACCAAATACAATAATACAGTCACACAAGCGATTCACAATCTCAACCACATACAATAATAAGTCACACAAGTGATTCACACTCTCAACCACATACAACAATACAGTCACACTAGCGATTCTCACTCTCAACCACCACATACAACAATACAGTCACACAAGTGAGTCACTCTCTCAACCAAATACAATAATACAGTCACACAAGCGATTCACACTCTCAACCACATACAATAATACAGTCACACAAGTGATTCACACTCTCAACCACACACAATAATACAGTCACACAAGTTATTCACACTCTCAACCACATCGAATAATACAGTCATACAAACGATTCACTCTCTCAACCACATACAATAATACAGTCACACAAACGATTCACACTCTCAACCACATCGAATCATACAGTCACACAAACGATTCACACTCTCAACCACATCGAATAACGTTATGTCGTTTATTTGCAATAAGAGATTTTATTTCATATGCAATGTAACTGTTTGTTTGATGAAAAACACAGACTGTTGTGGAGGTATGTTGAATATCACACACTATTTTGTCAACCATAAATTTTCGACCATCGGACGTCATTTGATATAATTTTGGAGTAATAACTCCAATATTTGGCCTCAACACTTACTTGGACAGTCATGGTCGTTCGTGCACGTTTTTGTTCCGTCTAAATGGTGCCCATGGCAGGAAGCACCCCCGTGCTCTGGTTTTGGACTGTCACAGGTACGATGCCGGGTTCGGTGTCCGTTACCACAGGTAACCGAACATGAAGACCAACTCGACCAAACACCCCATCCTCCATTCACAGCTGTTTGTACAACTAGATAAATAATTAATTTCAGTTCAAATTGTAAGAGTAATCTTTCTTTGTACTGTGTTGGACTGTTCGGGTAAGTATGTTATGTGTGTATGTGGGGATTTGCGAGGAATTCAGAATGCAATAAAAAAGTGCTTTAGGAACGCTGTTGTGATGCTATTTGTATAACCCACATTCATTGATTGAGAGATATACAGGACATTACACTCGTGGATTCTTTTAACTATATAAACAACAGTTATGGTGCTAAGATTGTCCGAAATTACCAGATCGTTACTTCAACAAACTGTAATTAAGGTAATAGGATTGTGTCACCATTTCTCAGAAGAATTTCTTAAAATTTTGTATTTATATTGCTTTAAAGTAAAGAAAATTTTCTGCCACAAAAAAAATATAGGTTGTCAGAATTTTAAGGATTTTAAATGGAAATTTATGTAAAAATGAGTGAATTTTGAAAAGTCACAACATTTTTACAAAATAATGTCAATAAAAATGATACTGACATATATTAGTATTGCATTAATGTATATCAATTTAATAAATGATGAAATTGTGTTAAATTAATTCTCTATACACGATATAAAAATTGTCATTTATTGCAGGTAAGAGTTATCGTTCTTGAAAAACTTCACAGTAGTGAAATAGGTAGCCGGTTTCTTGAAGTAAAGAAAAAATGGACACATGTGACTCATTGATAAAAAAAACCCTGAATTAATGCCTGGATTGCTTTGAAATACTTTAATATTGAGAGAACACACTGGTTTGTTAATAATAAACATACAATATTCATCAATTTAATATTAAACATTAGAATTTGCGTAAAATTGTGATACTCTCTCCCCACATTGGATTTTCAACTAGGGATGTACTTCCTGTTTCCGTTTATCAATACACTGCAATGACCTTAAATTAGAGATACACGCTTATATAACCACGCATTAGTCTTCGTTTTGTTACCATGGGAATAATAAACTTCAATTTAAACGAAAAATTGACTTACTGGGACAGGCGACAATACACGATCGGGTTTCGGTAGAAGTATTTGGACATATGTGATTGTGGACAGTATGGGTATGTCCGTGGATCGTTTCGACACAGTTGCGTGACCGTCTCGAATGACCATGATGTCCGCACTTTTGAGCTGTGCTACAGCTTGACCAACTACCCCATGATGTCCATTCTATCGTGCTAGTTGCAGCCTTTGTGGTTATAGGGACTCGAACGGTTGCTGCAACAGCAGTAAGGATGTAATAGTAGTATTAAACACAGACGTGTATATACATGCTCTGTGTTACATATTATGTATTTCAAAATGCAATGCTATTCTTCTGAAACCAGAATTGAGTACATGTCATTTATTTTTATGGAACTCTTCAGAGTGAAGATGTGTTTTCTCTAAAAATGGAAAGGCAAAGGAGAAACACGCCGTGTTGCAGTTTGGCCTAATGATCATGATGTTACCCTAGACAAGCCAAAATGTATGCTTATAAGAAATTTCATTTGTAATAATGACTAATAGGTATCTGCGAAACTAATATAAATGTTTTTTTTTCTTTTTTAACATATTTTCTTTTTGATTGTTCACATGTTAATACACAGTGGAGTACATGACAATTAATACATTGTATTACATATTGTCTCGCATACTAATGAATTCTAGCTTCTTTTTCATTTTGTTTCTTTTTTATGTACAATAACAACTCTTATTATTATGTAGTAAACAATTCTAGATATGATCAACATCGATAGCAAGAATGAGCAAAATATGGATTTAAATTCAATTAATCAATGTTCAATCAATGCTGTGCTGATAACGGCCCACTTCGCTACTACTTGGTCGGCTTCTGCTCGGGGATAGGACAGGATACATTGATTTTCAATTAGCTTATAGTATGATATTGCAGAACGGACCCCGCCAATAGTTGGCATTGTATGTTTGTTTCTGCATGAGTAAATATTTACATTTGTGTTGCAGTGCCACTAGATAACAATACCAACTAAAAATGTTTGCATGATACAATAAAAGCAAGTGTGTAGTAATATTAACAGTACTACATGTACATGTACCGTTGCATTACCTCTGACCCCCAACACACACAAACACAAACAAACCAAAACATTGTTTATCAACGGTTAAAATACATTTAAATATATTTTAATAATGCTTTTTCTTATATCATCAACAAGAAATCACCGTGAAATAAATTAATTTAAGTCCGCGTATTCAACGTCTAAAATGCATCCTGTGCTAACTCCAGCCACAGACATTTGTAACGAACCTCTGTGCTCCAGCCAATATGTCTGACAGCGACGTCGGGGACGTGTCCCTCGAATATGGAATGTTTATGGCGGGTCACCGAAGCGTGTCTGCTATAAGATCCTATAACAGATCCTTTTCAACAGAACAGAATAATTCACTGTCCTCTAGAATCTACACTAGCGTCCGTTGCAAGTGGCGAAGCAGGTGAAATCGTTCCGGCTCGTCGGCTATTCCCCTCATCGATAGTAATACATGAGCTAGTCCTGTTGACACAGTCGATCGACACAAGAATTCAGCAAACAGCATTTTTTAAATCGTCTTCTGGTTTCTAAGGAAACTCCACATTTCACGGATGCACTTTCTATCTCGTTGAAAGTCGAACCGCTTCGTAGCCGCTGCACAACCGTTTTTATAAAGGGTCAGCTTTCTCCGCGAACACGGAATAAATTTCTGACTTTTTGCAACTAAAATATTTTACATGGTATTTTTGTTTTAAATTTAGATCTACTGTCAATTTTTAAGATAATCAATGCGTGTTAAACATGCTGGTAATGTAAATTAAATTATTAAAAAATATGCAAAGTGGAACTATGTGTTTATTGCTCAACGATGTATTTCGTCACCGTTGACAACGCATCATCTTTCCCGCGAAAAAGGCTGTTCAATTAATGTTGTTTTCATGACGGTGTTTTGCTTTTTAACTTGAAAAAGACTATTCTTTCTTGATTTCAAATAATAAAAGTGGATGTATTAGAATGTAAATAGAAGGTTTGAAATGCATCTTTTTAACATTTACGAGGGTATGCAACACAGTTCCGTTCAAAAATATCCTCAAGATGCGCTAACGCCCTAACGGGCGACATTATATGTATTTCACACCCAAATTGCATTTATATCGACTGTATACTGCATCTGGTTACAGTTCAATGCTTATATTTGCATTTACATATATATAGTTTGTTTTGTTTAGTAACTCAAGCAAAAATACGTTTGAATTTCTTGTTTAAAATTAAAGCTTTTTAACGCGCATTGATAGATTATATGTATTTGCAGTTTGGCCTAATGATCATGATGTTACCCTGGACAAGCCAAAATGTATGCTTATAAGAAATTTCATTTGTAATAATGACGAATAGGTATCTGCGAAACTAATATAAATGTTAGAAACTAATATAAATGTTAGAAGTTGCAAGTTAAGTGTAATCAGTCTATAAATCGAAATAATATGTGCAGAAAGCAGGTTCTCATAATTGTGAATGTGTTGTCAGTCTTCACTGACGGACTGACAGGCTGGATGTTAAACTAGTCCTACTATCTTCGACACATCGACTTATTGATATATCTTCTCCTGTGATTACAGTATAGGTGTATTCGTAAGGAAATACCAATAGTGTTGTAACTGATTATTACACTAACCGGGAGGTAAATATAAGTCCTACAGGAATACTTATCTGCACAAATCTCGGGGATTTTATTTCATTAATAGACCGTCAACACTCTGTATCACCGACATAGTATATGAGTATCAGACCAAAATTTTGTATGTGATTTAAATTAACGATTACTTATCCTCGACAATAACCTGAACATATTTAATCTCATGAATTTACAGAATTATAAATAGTTGTTTAAATACTTGTGGTTGGACACGCTTGTACATTGCAGCTCCGAGGCTCCTCTGCCATGTGTGACTGCGGGCAGTTCTGTATACAGTGGCGGTATTGTACACCCCCTCCACATTCCAGCGAACACTGCGACCAATCGGAGTACACTGCAATGTAAAATGTCGATCAGCTTTTCAAGCACATATCAACATACCTAAGTGGGCTTGTGAATTGTTTTAAGATGTAACTCCATAAAAAAGCAGAGTTCAACACCAAGGAACATGTACAAATTATTAATATTTGGTATTTTGGACTCATTTAATTAATGACATTTGTAAGGTATATGATTATTCCGTCTTTGCGTATTGCAGAGTTATCTTCTCTTGTGAGCAGGGATTGATTGTTACGTAATTTGTTTGTGAGAGTAACGTCGTCAATTTTTGAGAAAACGACGTAATTTTCTCACACAAACCAATGATGTAACAATCAATACCTGCTCACAAGAGCAGATAACTCTGCAATACGCAAAGACGGAATATCCGTGAATAACAATTGATTGTTATAAGGGGGACAACTCTTACACAAATCAAAGACATATTTAGTAAGGTGACACAACATAGATATTTATAGCATGAATCGCATCTTTAGGGCAGATACATGTACCTTAAAAAGCAAATTGCTAGTAAGAAGATAAACAGACGTTATTAGAGTAAATCTTTAAAAGCTTACTTATCTGTGCAAAACATTATCCTGTTTTTGTATTGCGACTGCCATTTTTAAAATTCATTCTATTACTTTTGAAATATATACAGTTAAACATTTGAAGTAGTAATTATATTTTGTTATAAACATTACAGTTAGCCTCGTTTTACAGCATGAATTTACCAAATAAAAATATCTCATTTAAGACTAAAAAGTGTACATTTTAATTCTAGAAGTAATGGTTGAAAAAGGTGATTATTTTCTTTTATTTCAAATGTTCAGTGTTGGGATTTTAAAATACGAAACAAATATAATTAAAATAACCAACGTAGCTCATTATATATATATTTGTTATATTGTATGCGACCGTTTTTGTCAAAATGGTGTCTTGTGATTTTTTTTCCCGTGAAATATTTTTCGGTGAAAACATTGTCTATCCTTCTCTCTTGTTAAAATGCACAATAATTAATCCTATTTAAGCACACTTCTTAAGTGTCTATTTTAATGGCAAAAACTGAAATTCGGATTTTTCATGACAGTTTCCAACGCATTTATTACAATCGCTGACAGCTGTGATTGAAGAAGGCCATGTGAGTAAATCTCTGGCAACCATAACCAGTGTTTGCTTTTGAAGTGATGTACCCTAATTAGCATTACAAAATAGATTGACTGTGTCAAAATTTATCGCCAGAGGGCAGACCACTTGTCCTGGGCACCCCGCCGACTGCAGGTGTAATACAGAGACACTTGTAGACGTGACCAAGTCCTCTCACCCCAAGACATGGGGTAGCTAATCATAGCATGTGAGGCTTTCACACCTATTTGGTGTACATAATCAAGTCAGCGCCCCAATGTCTGAGTTAGATAACAGCGTGCAAGATCTTTGACAATTTTCTCAAATGTAAGCTACCCCTGGATTTGTTGTCGGGTCCACTGCCGGGCAGATTATTTCATAATTGTATTTTTTTCGTAAAGTCGGAGCAGGTCTGTAAGCTAGCACACCGTCAGAGTAGACCTTAATTGATATAAATTACTTTTTTTGTGGGGCAAGTAAGCTGTGAATGTTAATTTGTAAACACACTCATTTGCACCACGATGTGGTCGTAGATGAGGTCATTGTGAAGCAGCGATTCTCGTGGGAAAATACCCCGAGAATATCTAACGGCGAAGGAAATACCCCTAGAATATCTAACAGCGAAGGAAACACCCCTAGAATTTCTAACGACGAAGGAAATACCCCTAGAATATCTAACAGCGAAGGAAACACCCCTAGAATTTCTAACGACGAAGGAAATACCCCTAGAATATCTAACAGCGAAGGAAATACCCCTAGAATATCTAACAGCGAAGGAAATATCCCTAGAATATCTAACAGCGAAGGAAATACCCCTAGAAAATCTAACGGCGAAGGAAATACCCCTAGAATATCTAACAGCGAAGGAAATACCCCTAGAATATCTAACAACGAAGGAAATACCCCTAGAAAATCTAACAGCGAAGGGAATACCCCTAGAATATTTAACGACGAAGGAAATACCCCTAGAATATCTAACAGCTAAGGAAATACCCCTAGAATATCTAACAGCGAAGGAAATACCCCTAGAAAATCTAACGGCGAAGGAAATATCCCTAAAATATCTAACAGCAAAGGAAATACCCCTAGAATATCTAACAGCGAAGGAAATACCCCTAGAATATCTAACGACGAAGGAAATATACCCCTAGAATATCTAACAGCGAAGGAAATAACGGTCAACTTCTGACCCAGACATTTTAGCAGTGCAAACTTCACCTCGATATCTGCCATTCTAAAAAATTTAAACAATTTAAACCTTCTAGTGTTTGAGCAATCTTATAAAAAAAACTCTGCAACACGTATTTTCGGTGTACAGGAAAGCTCTACAACGACAAGTTAGGCAATACCATGAAAAATATTGGGGAACGAAAATGTCATTCACATCGATATATTAAAGGCAATGCTTTTTATCTTGATAGAAATATCAATTATATAACAGAAGTGGCATACATTCTCATGTTTCTGGGACCTGCCAAGACAGAATTGGAACCGGACAACTGGATTATGCCCAGAGAACTGCGCGGCCCTTGGTCTCTTATTGATAGCGTCTACGGTGATTTATAGGTTTAAGGATTCCTGTAAGATATACGTTACTTACCAGCTGCAGCGTGGGTTGGAGTCTGACAACAACCAGCACAGTTTGAGCAATCTGCAGAGAAAACGAGCAAGGAATCTTAGTGTATCAAATCAAAAGAACATGTAATAATATTACATATAAGCCTGTACAGTATCTTTATATAAAAGAATACACATTTGATGTAAATGAAACCAAATTATCCTTCCCTACATTAATGTTAAACGTGTATACATCACTTACATGGCTAAATTCGTCGACCAAGCAGAAGACGCTTATCATTCCGGAATACCTGGTCGTAAGCTCTTTGAACGTTTTAAAGGTGCCCCATGCAAAGCTTTCATAAGTTCACACTAAGATTTAGTTTTATCGATTTTGTGTTAAAATAACAGTTTTGTTAATGATTTAGCATTCCATTGGCTATCTGTTGGATTTTTTTAAACGTTCGACCTGTAATATGCCACAGCTTGACGAATGTTCCTTATGTATTTAGTTTACATCAGACGGTTATTATCTCCAGCTGATGAACGAATTTAAATGCGAGTCTGGTAATAGATTGAATTCTCACCGATGTCTTGATTGTGATGGTGATGCACATCACAGCAGTGGCTGTCACAGGTGTGATGAGCACAGTGACCGTGACCCCCCATCACCATGGTGACAGCTGATAGCAACATCAAGGCAATCGACAGCAGCATTTTAACTCGGGTTGATATGTAACCTATGGAAGCAACCGAAGAAAAACAAAAGAAAATGTCGTCTAACAAAATTGATAAAGTATTGTGGTACAGCCTAAAAAGACGTTAGGTTGTTTTCGGAAATGGAAAATCATTGTGAACGAAATGCGGTTGCTGGACGTAACTAAACTAACTGCGTTGTCTGGAGGGATTAATTACTTGCACAAATGTACAATTGTATATCATCTTTATTTCCCTATCTGTTCCTCTCAATTTACAATTGAATTTATAAACAGAAGTGTTTGCGTACAATTGTACCTCAGATAACAGTAAAATGTCCAAATCTGACATTTTTCTGTGTTTGTATTGTGATGTCATAATTTCTAACATTATTTCGATTATGAACGTTAGATACGGGCGTTAGGTGAATGATTCGGTGAGGGTTTAGTGTGTGTTGCTTACATTATTTCGATTATGAACGTTAGATACGGGCGTTAGGTGAATGATTTGGTGAGGGTTTGGTGTGTGTTGCTTACATTATTTCGATTATGAACGTTAGATACGGGCGTTAGGTGAATGATTTGGTGAGGGTTTGGTGTGTGTTGCTTACATTATTTCGATTATGAACGTTAGATACGGGCGTTAGGTGAATGATTTGGTGAGGGTTTGGTGTGTGTTGCTTACATTATTTCGATTATGAACGTTAGATACGGGCGTTAGGTGAATGATTTGGTGAGGGTTTGGTGTGTGTTGCTTACATTATTTCGATTATGAACGTTAGATACGGGCGTTAGGTGAATGATTTGGTGAGGGTTTGGTGTGTGTTGCTTACATTATTTCGATTATGAACGTTAGATACGGGCGTTAGGTGAATGATTTGGTGAGGGTTTGGTGTGTGTTGCTTACATTATTTCGATTATGAACGTTAGATACGGGCGTTAGGTGAATGATTTGGTGAGGGTTTGGTGTGTGTTGCTTACATTATTTCGATTATGAACGTTAGATACGGGCGTTAGGTGAATGATTTGGTGAGGGTTTGGTGTGTGTTGCTTACATTATTTCGATTATGAACGTTAGATACGGGCGTTAGGTGAATGATTTGGTGAGGGTTTGGTGTGTGTTGCTTACATTATTTCGATTATGAACGTTAGATACGGGCGTTAGGTGAATGATTTGGTGAGGGTTTGGTGTGTGTTGCTTACATTATTTCGATTATGAACGTTAGATACGGGCGTTAGGTGAATGATTTGGTGAGGGTTTGGTGTGTGTTGCTTACATTATTTCGATTATGAACGTTAGATACGGGCGTTAGGTGAATGATTTGGTGAGGGTTTGGTGTGTGTTGCTTACATTATTTCGATTATGAACGTTAGATACGGGCGTTAGGTGAATGATTTGGTGAGGGTTTGGTGTGTGTTGCTTACATTATTTCGATTATGAACGTTAGATACGGGCGTTAGGTGAATGATTTGGTGAGGGTTTGGTGTGTGTTGCTTACATTATTTCGATTATGAACGTTAGATACGGGCGTTAGGTGAATGATTTGGTGAGGGTTTGGTGTGTGTTGCTTACATTATTTCGATTATGAACGTTAGATACGGGCGTTAGGTGAATGATTTGGTGAGGGTTTGGTGTGTGTTGCTTACATTATTTCGATTATGAACGTTAGATACGGGCGTTAGGTGAATGATTTGGTGAGGGTTTGGTGTGTGTTGCTTACATTATTTCGATTATGAACGTTAGATACGGGCGTTAGGTGAATGATTTGGTGAGGGTTTGGTGTGTGTTGCTTACATTATTTCGATTATGAACGTTAGATACGGGCGTTAGGTGAATGATTTGGTGAGGGTTTGGTGTGTGTTGCTTACATTATTTCGATTATGAACGTTAGATACGGGCGTTAGGTGAATGATTTGGTGAGGGTTTGGTGTGTGTTGCTTACATTATTTCGATTATGAACGTTAGATACGGGCGTTAGGTGAATGATTTGGTGAGGGTTTGGTGTGTGTTGCTTACATTATTTCGATTATGAACGTTAGATACGGGCGTTAGGTGAATGATTTGGTGAGGGTTTGGTGTGTGTTGCTTACATTATTTCGATTATGAACGTTAGATACGGGCGTTAGGTGAATGATTTGGTGAGGGTTTGGTGTGTGTTGCTTACATTATTTCGATTATGAACGTTAGATACGGGCGTTAGGTGAATGATTTGGTGAGGGTTTGGTGTGTGTTGCTTACATTATTTCGATTATGAACGTTAGATACGGGCGTTAGGTGAATGATTTGGTGAGGGTTTGGTGTGTGTTGCTTACATTATTTCGATTATGAACGTTAGATACGGGCGTTAGGTGAATGATTTGGTGAGGGTTTGGTGTGTGTTGCTTACATTATTTCGATTATGAACGTTAGATACGGGCGTTAGGTGAATGATTTGGTGAGGGTTTGGTGTGTGTTGCTTACATTATTTCGATTATGAACGTTAGATACGGGCGTTAGGTGAATGATTTGGTGAGGGTTTGGTGTGTGTTGCTTACATTATTTCGATTATGAACGTTAGATACGGGCGTTAGGTGAATGATTTGGTGAGGGTTTGGTGTGTGTTGCTTACATTATTTCGATTATGAACGTTAGATACGGGCGTTAGGTGAATGATTTGGTGAGGGTTTGGTGTGTGTTGCTTACATTATTTCGATTATGAACGTTAGATACGGGCGTTAGGTGAATGATTTGGTGAGGGTTTGGTGTGTGTTGCTTACATTATTTCGATTATGAACGTTAGATACGGGCGTTAGGTGAATGATTTGGTGAGGGTTTGGTGTGTGTTGCTTACATTATTTCGATTATGAACGTTAGATACGGGCGTTAGGTGAATGATTTGGTGAGGGTTTGGTGTGTGTTGCTTACATTATTTCGATTATGAACGTTAGATACGGGCGTTAGGTGAATGATTTGGTGAGGGTTTGGTGTGTGTTGCTTACATTATTTCGATTATGAACGTTAGATACGGGCGTTAGGTGAATGATTTGGTGAGGGTTTGGTGTGTGTTGCTTACATTATTTCGATTATGAACGTTAGATACGGGCGTTAGGTGAATGATTTGGTGAGGGTTTGGTGTGTGTTGCTTACATTATTTCGATTATGAACGTTAGATACGGGCGTTAGGTGAATGATTTGGTGAGGGTTTGGTGTGTGTTGCTTACATTATTTCGATTATGAACGTTAGATACGGGCGTTAGGTGAATGATTTGGTGAGGGTTTGGTGTGTGTTGCTTACATTATTTCGATTATGAACGTTAGATACGGGCGTTAGGTGAATGATTTGGTGAGGGTTTGGTGTGTGTTGCTTACATTATTTCGATTATGAACGTTAGATACGGGCGTTAGGTGAATGATTTGGTGAGGGTTTGGTGTGTGTTGCTTACATTATTTCGATTATGAACGTTAGATACGGGCGTTAGGTGAATGATTTGGTGAGGGTTTGGTGTGTGTTGCTTACATTATTTCGATTATGAACGTTAGATACGGGCGTTAGGTGAATGATTTGGTGAGGGTTTGGTGTGTGTTGCTTACATTATTTCGATTATGAACGTTAGATACGGGCGTTAGGTGAATGATTTGGTGAGGGTTTGGTGTGTGTTGCTTACATTATTTCGATTATGAACGTTAGATACGGGCGTTAGGTGAATGATTTGGTGAGGGTTTGGTGTGTGTTGCTTACATTATTTCGATTATGAACGTTAGATACGGGCGTTAGGTGAATGATTTGGTGAGGGTTTGGTGTGTGTTGCTTACATTATTTCGATTATGAACGTTAGATACGGGCGTTAGGTGAATGATTTGGTGAGGGTTTGGTGTGTGTTGCTTACATTATTTCGATTATGAACGTTAGATACGGGCGTTAGGTGAATGATTTGGTGAGGGTTTGGTGTGTGTTGCTTACATTATTTCGATTATGAACGTTAGATACGGGCGTTAGGTGAATGATTTGGTGAGGGTTTGGTGTGTGTTGCTTACATTATTTCGATTATGAACGTTAGATACGGGCGTTAGGTGAATGATTTGGTGAGGGTTTGGTGTGTGTTGCTTACATTATTTCGATTATGAACGTTAGATACGGGCGTTAGGTGAATGATTTGGTGAGGGTTTGGTGTGTGTTGCTTACATTATTTCGATTATGAACGTTAGATACGGGCGTTAGGTGAATGATTTGGTGAGGGTTTGGTGTGTGTTGCTTACATTATTTCGATTATGAACGTTAGATACGGGCGTTAGGTGAATGATTTGGTGAGGGTTTGGTGTGTGTTGCTTACATTATTTCGATTATGAACGTTAGATACGGGCGTTAGGTGAATGATTTGGTGAGGGTTTGGTGTGTGTTGCTTACATTATTTCGATTATGAACGTTAGATACGGGCGTTAGGTGAATGATTTGGTGAGGGTTTGGTGTGTGTTGCTTACATTATTTCGATTATGAACGTTAGATACGGGCGTTAGGTGAATGATTTGGTGAGGGTTTGGTGTGTGTTGCTTACATTATTTCGATTATGAACGTTAGATACGGGCGTTAGGTGAATGATTTGGTGAGGGTTTGGTGTGTGTTGCTTACATTATTTCGATTATGAACGTTAGATACGGGCGTTAGGTGAATGATTTGGTGAGGGTTTGGTGTGTGTTGCTTACATTATTTCGATTATGAACTTTAGATACGGGCGTTAGGTGAATGATTTGGTGAGGGTTTGGTGTGTGTTGCTAACATTATTTTGATTATAAACTTTAGATAGGGCGTTAGGTGAATGATTTGGTGAAGGTTTGTTGTGTGTTGCTAACATTATTTCGATAATGAACGTTAGATACGGGCGTTAGGAGAATGATTTGGTGAGGGTTTGATGTGTGTTGCTCATAATATTTCGATTTTGAACCTTAGATACGGGCGTTAGGTGAATGATTTGGTGAAGGTTTGTTGTGTGTTGCTAACATTATTTCGATAATGAACGTTAGATACGGGCGTTAGGAGAATGATTTGGTGAGGGTTTGATGTGTGTTGCTTACATTATTTCGATTATGAACGTTAGATACGGGCTTAAGGTGAATGATTTGGTGAGGGTTTGGTGTGTGTTGCTAACATTATTTCGATTATAAACTTTAGATAGGCGTTAGGTGAATGATTTGGGGAAGGTTTGTTGTGTGTTGCTAACATTATTTCGATAATGAACGTTAGATACGGGCGTTAGGAGAATGATTTGGTGAGGGTTTGATGTGTGTTGCTCATAATATTTCGATTTTGAACCTTAGATACGGGCGTTAGGTGAATGATTTGGTAAGGGTTTGGTGTGTGTTGCTAACATTATTTCGATTATAAACTTTAGATAGGCGTTAGGTGAATGATTTGGTGAAGGTTTGTTGTGTGTTGCTAACATTATTTCGATAATGAACGTTAGATACGGGCGTTAGGAGAATGATTTGGTGAGGGTTTGATGTGTGTTGCTAACATTATTTCGATTATGAACTTTAGATACGGGCGTTAGGTGAATGATTTGGTAAGGGTTTGGTGTGTGTTGCTAACATTATTTCGATTATGAACGTTTGATACCGGCGTTAGGTGAATAATTTAGTGAGGGTTTGGTGTGTGTTGCTAACATTATTTCGATTATGAACGTTAGATACGGGCGTTAAATGAATGATTTGGTGTGGGTTTGGTGTGTGTTGCATTCTTTTTCTGACTGGGTCTTCAACGCTGACATACAGTGTGATTTTGAAGCTGCAGATTACCAAAATGTTATGAAAACAGATCCGATGGTGATATGGAACAGATACGTATACTTGTAGCCGATACAGATATGGATGTTTGATATTTGAACGATTTTGGAAAACATGCGAGTCATCTTCAGGGTAAAGGTAAATACACATTGTGTTGATGAAACATAAGGTGTACAAGTATAAACGAAGCAAGAATGAATTTCTTATAAGAGAAACAGAAACATGTTGATGATTGGTCCGCACTCTCTCGAAAAAAATGATTTAGAAATGTGAAATAATAGTTTGAATCGGTATCACTAGAACCACGAATGTGTTATTTTTCTGCCATCTGTAAACGAAGGGATGTGATTTACCTTATCAACGAACATGTCATTTAAATAAATCTGTTATCTGAAAAAAGGTTTTACGACCGAGTGAAACTAGAATTGACTCATATGATGTATGTAAATAAGTGTGTTGAGCTTACCCCCGTACGGCTGGTCCCTTATATGTCACGTAAGTCCACACTGTGGCCTTATCAGTGGTCTACTATCGTCACTGTGTCCTCGGGTGTCAGTTTGAATGAATAAGGCCACTCTTGCACTGTCCTTCAACAAGTACATTATACATGATCAATAGAATGCTCTATATAAAGAAATCCTGAACTGTTAAGAAACTTTGACCTGCATAGATTTTTGAACGAATTTCACACCATGGGAAACTATCAAATATATTTGTGTAACCCTCTTAGCCCCAAAGGCTGGGTAAAAACAACTTCATATACTTTTTAGGGTCTTCTCTATTTATTATTTCCACAGAAACCTATTAACAAAAAGATACGAAACTAAAACTCAGTTACAATATACATATACAGTTACTTTGACTTTACGAATACGATGGACATGACTACATATATATTATCACATGTATTGTTATATCATAATTATCAGTTATCTTGTTGAATGTATAGGCTTAACAAGAAACAGTATGATGTATTAATGTCAAATTGGATATAGTTAAATTTGATCCATATTCAGCCACGTACACATACAATAGTTTAGAAGTCTGTTCTCAGTAGAAATGTGAACACGTATGCTACATGTACGTCATATCTTATCAATGAGCTATTTACAGGTGAAACGTTCATCTATAGGGCAACATTCACGTTTCAATTTTAAACCAATATCTCAAGTTTGCCAATGACAATACATAAGTTCAAAGTAACTACACTGAATACCTCAAATAAGTTTCATCGTGAAATTCGCGTATCAATACTAGAATGTTTTACGTCCAAAATATATAAAAATACGAAGAACGGATACACAACTGTTCAAATTCAGGTTGTCACCATTAACAGAAAGTCATTTCGTCTATTTTAGGACTTGTCAGTGACGATAAAGTTCAAAAGAAAAGAAATCCATTATGTAATGTAATTGACAACGGTAGCCTGATACCTTACTATATATGTAAGCACGAGTTGTCTTTCCTTGTAAAGACATCCGGTTCCCCGTGTAGGAGGAACACACGCTGCTTTTCCTCATTCCTACGATGGTCATGTGCACACATGAAAACATCATAACACATTCCGAAAATGTTACAAAACAAATCTATAACTAGTAACAAGTGGAGGTGCCTTAAAACCCCTCTATAATGATAGACATATGTTTTTTTTGTGTGTGGCTACAAGAGATAATATTGACATTTGCATGGCATTGCCACTATATAGCCTCTTTAAAAGCTGTGTTGTTGATGGGACTTTAATTACCATGCATCACGAGACACAATTCTTAGCGTATTAATCCAATATAAATGAACTTGACGGCCCCTAAAATATCGCTGGGCATTGTGAGATTTGACAATGTCATTGTAAATTTATGTGCAAAATAAAAAATAAAATAAAAACACTTTTATTACAACAAAAACAAGACCAAGGTCTGCAATATCGTACAAAATGCACATTGGTTGAAATCACCAATGCCGGCAATGGAAACAATTTTAACGCTCATGCAATTTATCAGAAATATCGTCTGTTACACTGCACTTGTCAACAGGGGTTCGTTACAAATGTCTGAAATACACATATTCTATAGACCTACTGACACATATGTAACAGACCTACTGATATGAGTCACAGCACACATAAACATTTCAGACATTTGTAACGAACCTGTGCTCCGTCGCAAGATCACTCACTTCAAACGCTATCAGTTTCACGCGTCTCGCATCCACGGTTCCTCAGTTTCTGACGACATGTCAAATAACGAGGCCGTTATATAATCTACCGACTGTTGTCAGGTTCCCATACAATCAACAAATAAATTCACGCCTGGATTCTTCACAAAATGGACAAAGAGAAAAGTTCGAATTAACTTCCAAAATAACTCCCTCGTGGAGGGCAAGGTCGGATTTACGGTGTTCACTGTATTTGTCCATGCGCGAAATTTTAGCTCAGAGTTCTGTTGATAAACTTAAATCACCCTATAGATATGTATCATACGCAATTGTATTGATACTGAATTGTGGAATAAAATTGAAGTGTTTGTTAAAATTTCTACTTTGTTTGCCAATCAGCACGCGACAATACGCTGTTCAAACTATTGAACGAAATTGTGTAGACTGTCGATAAGGCGGGCATTTTTAATTTTAAATATAAATTATAAGTTAAAAAAGAACATAAGAGGCAGAGGAAACGGAAATATAAGTATTGAACTGTTTTTGTATGGTATTTATGATATATTTGAATGACACAGCTTTGCAAGCAAACAAATCATAATGTGCTAGTGCGCATTATGTTGTTTTCTTGCAAAGCTGTGTCATTCAAATAGATCATAAATACCATACAAAAACAGTTCAATGCTTAAAATGTTTACAGTTTCAAGTGTAATTGGCTCAATGACCTTTGTTGAGACCATTGCCATTATCACTCGATAACGACAGTCATTCTTGCGCGCGTAGTGATACATACACCGTGTACATATGTGTACGTCAACAACCCGGGGTTTCCATTGCGATTTTCGTAAGTAAACAGAAGTACCTGGGATATCAGATTTGTACAACTCATTAGTGTATTCATGCAAAAGATTCATTGTTGAAATTTATACCTTCCGATGACGTTACGTTGTTTACAACGCCCGATGATTACCGCACCGACTGACAGGACGTCAGGATGTTATGTTTTACTACGTATTCGTGTTCATTTACATACGTTTACTTTGATGACATAGTGTAAACAATACCCAGAAATACTATAGTAAATTCAATTTTGACAATAACGTTCGATATACGGTAATTTTGCCGTAATATTTTCAACTGCACTCGACTGATAAGGCTGGTAAATAATGGTAATCACAGGACGGGTCCTAAATACTGAGAGTATGGTCACAGCACACGAACTGGGTTTTGTAATGATTGAAGTTAAATCAAAGTTATAAAATTTCTTCGTGTGTTTGCGATTTTGTAGATACTATGCCTAGTTATCATCGCCGTGGAGTTTACAAAAAACACAGGAGAGTTCCAAAATTGCGAGTCGTTGGTGCCATATTATAGCGTTCCGGAATGTAAACGGGACATCTTTGGGTATTGAACATATGTTGAGATAAAATGCTTATAGAATTACAACGATATGATTTTATTATAACAGTTTACGAGTGCGAGTGAAATATTGTACGAGTGAATCGGGTTACGCAACTTTACAAGTTGTGCTAAAAATAGCCGCATAGAGCAACTTTGAAGTAAGAATTATCGCTAATGAGTTACGATTACATGTGTTAGAGCGAGCATACAAACCAATGTGATGTTCATGTTGCAGCCGATTTCGTTCGTATAAGTCCTAGTTTTGTCGTATCATGTCACTGTGGCCTTCGAAATGTGGCGCGAAGCGTTACCGTATCACACATCGTGCTTAAATGGAATGCTTGTAATCCTCCCTAGGGATATATTCCGGTTAAAAGAACGCGTTTTATGTCATATTTAAGAAAAAATACTATTAATACAAGGATTAACGTTCTATTTAGTTTAGGTAAGCGGGTGATAACTACAATGGAACTCGGGTAAATTGAATAATCGGCGAAGTAAGCTAAAGAGAAAGTTAATCCGTAAGTATATTTCTAACTTGACTTTGGTGTAAACCCTCACAGAACAAATGCCAGCTATACGACTAAAGCCTACCGACGGGATTTATACTCACCAACAGCGTAAGCCATCTGGTTTCGTGAAATAATGGCTAGAAACACGACGAAAGGAAAAGCCTATTTGACAGATTAGTTCATAGATGCTGAAAGTCAACACGGTGATCACTAATACAATAGCAAAACATGACGACAAAGAATGATAGACTGATAAACGACGTATACTGTTATCTGGTTAGATCGACGTTAATTAACGATCTGATCGAATCACCAGCAAGTGTAATGAGGTGGTCAATAGTTTGAAATGTAAAAATCGTATTAATTTGTTTTCTGAGATCTTAGTTACTCTAATAAAGATCAACAAAAAGATATTTTTTTGGACATCATGTAATATCTAAAAATACGACGTGTTCCACAATGTAACATAGCTCAGGCTGTACAGTATAGTAACGAGAACGTATATCATTTTAAATAAGCAAATTAAAACCAAATTATTAATATGCCTCGTGTATTAATAAGAAACCATACGCTTATATTATGATGTATATAACTAATATGAATATTTTTTTAAAAAATAATCTGTTTTATTAAGATTCGAACTAAACAATAATCTGTTTTATTAAGATTCAAATTTAAAGGCTCAAAGTGTGGTGGCAAAATGTGGAATCGTTTCCAAACTAACGGAAACCCTTCCAGACGGCATACTGGAGGTCGTTCTATAGCTACAACGCAGCGCCAAGACCGAATTTTGCTCATACAGGCACGGCGTCACAGGTGCCAGACTGCCACAGCTTTACAAAATGGCCTCCTAAATGCTTCTGGTACCCGGATAGCTACTCAGACAATGATGAACCGTCTTCGTGATGCTGGTTTAAGGTCACGTAGACCAGCTACTGTATACTGTTCCCTTGACTGTTCGCCATGTTAGGGACCGATTAGATTGTGCCCAAGCTCACAGCACTTGGACTCTACAGGAATGGGAACCAGTTCTTTTTACCGACGAGTCCAGATTCTGTCTCGACTTAACCGACCTGCGCGTTATAGTATGGAGACAACCCGGGGAGAGGTTCCAGGCAGGTAACGTTGTGGAACATGACCGATATGGCGGAGGTTCAGTGATGGTGTGGGGAGGCACACGCGTTCGAGGGAATACTGACCTCCATATCTTCCATAATGGTACCGTTACGGCCCGGATTTACTGCGGTCAAATCCTTGATGCCTATGTCAGAGCCTACGCTGGCGTTATCGGCCCGGACTTCATCCTAATGGACGATAGTGCTAGGCCACATAGAGCAAGGGTGACTGAGCAGTATCTACAGCAAGAGACCTTTTAACGAATTGATTGGCCAGTCAACTCGCCGGATCTTCATCACATCGAGCATGTGTGGGACATGCTGCAGGCATCTCTCTCTGCCAGAAATGTTCAGCCAAGAACGCTCCAGGAGCTGAGAACAGCTTTGGTAGCTCAGTGGAACGCTATCCCACAGAACCGGATACGCGATCTCATTCGGGGCATGCGCAGACGCTGTGAAGCTGTAATTGATGCTCACGGCCGTCACATTCAATACTTAAACAGTTTCTGTTTATTTAGGATGGGTGTTGTTCAATTTCAGTTTTTTAGTGAATACATTGTTGTTACCAATTTTATGGGTAACCCCTTTTCTGTGGCTCATTGTCCGACTGTAATTACGATATTTGGAATTTTTTGGATGCTGATGAATTAAAAGAACAATCATTTTTGCCCAAAAATAAAAGGGATCCTTAGCAAAATGTGAGTAGTATATATGTTGATAACGTTTCAATAAGGCGGAAAATGAAGGAAAATGAAGGAATCGGCCTTAATGTGGGCAACATGAAGAGTTCCTTTGTATAACCATCCTGAATAGACATAAAGACAGTATTCCATTGATTAAGGGAAAGAATTTGTGCTGGTAGCTTTAAACTGACTGTGATGTTGTTACATAAATGTATATACGATGTAAACAACATTTAAATATGACACTATGTAAATGCTCCTGTCAATATATGTAGGCTTTCAGAGAACCTTTGATCTACCATCTGACTCAACTGGTCATTTGATCTGCTATCGTGGTTGATATACATTTGTACGATTAAGATACTATTACACCAAATGTATATTTTACCAATACATATCATTGACAGATTAGTGTAACAGCTCTATTGTGTATTTTACCAATACATATCATTGACAGATTAGTGTAACAGCTCTTTTGTGTATTTTTATGTATCGATATTGTGGTACATCCTATTTATAGAAATGGAATCTAAAACAGGAAGAAACATAATACAATATTTTCATGTGTAAGGTTTATAGAAACTAGTGCCTTTCTTTCGCATACTATACAGTGTAAATGTACATCCAAACACATAGCAATTTATTTTTCGTATTATTAACCTTTCTCAAACTTTCAAATAAATGAGATAGGAACAAAATTGCCAGGGCGGACAACTTTGCGTTTGCCGGTTGGATATGGCGAGTGCGAATTAATATAATGTATATCGGTCCGGGATAGAATCTATATATATATTATATTTGTTTGCTGCATCGTACAAGCAAACCGCTTTATGTAAAGGGAAAGTGTTATGTTTTGCCAAAAAGTGTTGCATGTTGCATAGTGGTTTCCCGATGATTGTATTTACACATTATTGACAAAAATCTTATTGTTTAACATTTAAAACGCATTGGATGAACACTTTTCGACGTTATTGAACCATTGTATTTCAAATCCAGATGTTCTTAGTTTTAACTTTCCTATGTGTGTACAAAAAATGTAAATGCATATGTTCCCGACGTTCGTTTTCATCATTTCGGTTAAACGAATGAGTTATATTTTGGGACAAATATAAGTCTAAAATTGCTTTATGATATTTTAAGATTAAAGAGTTGTCTTTAGTAGGTGGTAATTATGGGAATTTCACTCCTTTAATACTTCAAGCGACCAAAAACGACCAATAAGCAACACATTGTCATCTGTTGCTAGCGGTAGTGACATTTCATGTTCTACCCTAGAAATTCGCCCTCTAGCCACCCATTCTGCCTCTTGTGTCAATGTCAACCCCCGTTACAAAGCAAAAACAACGTGGATCACACAGCCATATGATCACGTGATATATGAAATGCAGTCGAACAGCAAACTGCCATATCAAATTGTTTCGTCCTTTCAAGTCACGTATGGTTTTATTGTCATAGTGGACCTCCAATTACTGTAGCTTCACATTCCAGAAGATGTAGCGGCTCTCCACTTCGAACTAGTAAAACAGATGGCTGCCGTAGACTCGCAGCTGAGCCTGCGAACCGCGTCTAGACATAATTCTTTCGCGACGACGAGTCAGAAGATTTCATGTTCAAACTTATGAATTCATTAAAAGAACTTAAAAGTGATGTTTTGTGTTTTGTTTCTTCATCATATTGCTGTGTTGAAGTATAAGTACACCATCATGCTGTATGATGTTCCTTCAATGATAGACTCATTTATTTTAACATTAGGTCAATACGTAGATTTGCACAAGCCCCAAAATCTGTGACAAACTATCGGAATTGGCCTTTCACGAGTTGCAATTTAAAAAAAAAACACACGTTGATTGAAATATAAGGATTTAGTCTTGCTTTGGTCGATTTTGGATGATGAAGTGATTGGTCTTGCTTTGGTTGATTTTGGATGATGAAGTGATTGGCCTTGCTTTGGTCGATTTTGGATGATGAAGGGATTGGTCTTGCTTTGGTCGACTTTGGATGATGAAGTGATTGGTCTAGCTTTGGTCGATTTTGGATGATGAATTGATTGGTCTTGCTTTGGTCGGTTTTGGATGATGAAGTGATTGGTCTAGCTTTGGTCGATTTTGGATGATGAAGTTATTGGTCTTGCTTTGGTCGATTTTGGATGATGAAGGGATTGGTCTTGCTTTGGTCGACTTTGGATGATGAAGTGATTGGCCTTGCTTTGGTCGATTTTGGATGATGAAGTGATTGGTCTTGCTTTGGTCGACTTTGGATGATGAAGTGATTGGCCTTGCTTTGGTCGATTTTGGATGATGAAGGGATTGGTCTTGCTTTGGTCGATGTTGGATGATGAAGTGATTGGTCTTGCTTTGGTTGATTTTGGATGATGAAGTGATTGGTCTTGCTTTGGTCGATTTTGGATGATGAAGTGATTGGTCTTGAAACAAATTCGTAGTTCATGTTTGAGTTGTTTCAGGACAAACTGAATCCATACCCCATGAAGTTGACCAAAGCAAGATTATATCCTTAAATGAAACCTTCATGTTTAACTGATAAACACCAACAGTCACATGGAATCTTAATTTAGAGTAAAACTGTTGAGTGCAGGAATTGTTTTTTTCAGCGCTAAATTTTACGTTTTTTTAATAAAAAAAATTTCCATTTCAAAGCTATTCCATTGTGATGGTTGCATCACATGACATAACATGTGTATAGTTATATAACACAATATATTTTAAACGTATAATGTAAACTGATATCAAAGTTTTGTTTTTCACACAAACAATGTACGTACTAAACGTGTCGCAACGTTTCAAGACCGAATGGTCCCTTTCGTCACATCGTTGTACAGGTAAATCAAACAAATCGCTCACTCATCAGTCATAGCTTGACAAAGGGACCAGTCGGTCTTGAAACGTTACGACACGTTTAATAGTACATTGTTTGTGTAAAAATTAAAACTTTGATATCACATGTTTCCAAACTGATGAATCTTATAGAAGATATAATGTAAACTATTAGCAAACAAACAAAACCATACACTAATTTAGTACAACTGAGATCGAAGAATCATTTGTTTTTCTCTCGAAAAAAGGGCTCTGGTACTGGTTTTTATGTTTCTATCTTGAAAAAAATAAGATAAACACATGATATTAGTTTTGGTTTATACTTTTTTATATATCAAACTGTCTTTCGAATTTCGACCTGGCAGCTTCTACCATTTAATGGTATAGTAGCTGGAAGGGTTGTTGGAAATAATGGCATCACTTGACAATATAGCGCTAGTATCGTGTGGAATGTCAATAATTTCTGCTCCTCCATCGCACGCTTTTGTGGCCATCTGAAAAAAAAGTGACCGAATACACATCTATATTCTAATGAGGTGTGATTAAGGACTTAAGCGTACATTTTATGAACATGTCACATACTTCCAAAGAGAATATGCCAGGCTTAAACGGGAGATAGTGACGTATTTATACCTATTGTATTGTATATATTGATATTAACATTACCTTGAATCCACGTGGAGTACATGAAAGGAAAATGCCACTAATACCACTGTGCCCGCCTTGCTCGTATCCAAATTGCGAAAATGTCCCGATCGGCGTAAATGATTGAATTACTTTTGATCCCATGCAATCGGTAAGCACCTGAAATAAATATCTTTAAATCAAAATTTAAAAAACGTTTTACCCCGAAAAATACTTATTTACTGCATGTACCGCGAGATCGACAACTGGGCATCTATACAATGTAGGGTGTCACGTGACCTCTTATGATTAAGTACACGGAAAAATGTCGGGGAAAAGTTGCACCGCGAACAACATTTTAAAGATAAACTGACCAAATTCCTTATTTTCTATTTCCCCGTGTTTTGAATTATTAGAAGCCAAGTGATTCCCCACATTGATTTTGTGTTGAAGTCCGATTCGCATGTTTTCAGTAAAGTTGAAAACGACAGCGGAAACCATTTGTCACTTAAAATACAGTTATCTTTTAGTGGACCTACATATAGAACAGACATAATGGTTTAATAACTCGTTACTTCAAGCATGCATGACATACACAATTGAAACACGTGAAGTCGTACCTGTATAAATATAGGATATACCCGTTCAGTAGATGTTGTCGACCTTGCTTTTAATCCAATTTACAGTATATAAGTACTAATCGGGGTACTTGGTCTATATTTCGTACCTAAGTAACTAGCTTTGGTTCAGAGAGAAGGGAATAGTGTCTTGAATGATGCTCTCATATCAACTCTGTACTAAAAACAGGATAAAACATCTACATTTACAATACAAGCCTAGCTTGGCCAATGAGAACCCTTGGTTTTTCCTTCCAGACTGATTCGTCCAATCAACAGGCAGTTTCCTTAACTATAAAAGAGGTCGCCATTCATAAGTACCGAAATTACACGCAGATCAGTTCATTTGTTTCTTCTAAATTTGCTTTAAAAAACCCGATACTATTCCTCCGACCTACATTTCTACCAAACAAAGTAAAAGTAATACTCGGCCGAGGTCGTAGTATGCTGGACCTAGACAGGTTAAGTTAAGTAGCAAGAGTACACAACATCCCGTCGACTGAAAACTGTTGCTCAATCATGATGCACTGTTCCCATTTACATCTAAGATTAGTTGATATCATCTGATTTAAAATTGTTCATTTTTCACTGCCCATTTTGGAAGAACACTGATCATAAAAGCATTAGCAAGCTTTTAGATATCAACACATCGCCTAAACTAATGATTCAATAGGGTCAATTTTCTAAGATTGCTATCCGAAGTCAATTAAATAGCATCTCATTTTAGGCAACTTTATAGATACTGAAGGGAAGAAATTTCATCTATGATTGTACTCAACTATAGTGTAATATCTTACAACGTACAACATCAATCCAACAATTGTATATGTATCGTTGTCTTGCATTGCTTTTTAATTGGTTTAAGTATTTATATAGCCAATGCATATATGTACCACCTACCGACTCCCCCTGATGCCAGGCTTTGATGTCGGAAGGGGCGTTATGACAATGAGTGTGTACAAAGTTTTCCGTTCCGGAATTCCACCGATCAGGACAATGAACCTGGGATGTGACGTTCTGTTCAGCCAGCGCCTGGATTGTTCCGAATTTGTCACATCGGTTCACACCTTAAACAATACATGTAATTTGTAAATATGTCTTTAAAGCTAAAATTGATAATTGAAGTAAGATTTCCTGTGATGATTTTCCTCTAAAAATACATATATATGGTTGGGACTTATTATTGGCAATCGTAGCTAACAAATTATTTCTCATGACCATTTTAATTCTAAAAAACAACACACAAGAGAAGTTTTTTATATTGTTCTTTAGCTGTATTCTTTCCATTTGCTTTTTTCATATCTTCACCCAAATCCAGGTATGTTCAGGATTCAATTTGCCTGTCTCATTCAATTTGTATGGCACCAATACGCGACAGTTGATGCCTTATCTGATAGTTCCGATGTTTATGGTCCGGAGATATTACTCCGCTCTCATTAATAACGTGTAGCGTTTACGATAATTTATCGTACACGTGACAAAAGTATTTACATACCAAGTATTTATGAATTGAATATACTGTAAAATCATAAATTTTCGTGGGACATTACATTTCGATTATTTCGCGGATAACAAAAAACTACGAAATTATAACCCCACGAAAATACACATAAGTGATTCTACAATATTACGATCGCTTATTCGTGCAAGTCAAGATACATGTAAATTCAACTGCGATAAATATAGTGGGAACACTGTATACACGTTACGTAAGCCCGTTGTTTTTCAGCTTAAGTGGTGTCAAATCAGTCCTTTGATGTGACGTCACCAATAATTACGCCAATATAGGTCATTGAGATTGATTATTGTGCTTAAACTCCAATGATGGATTCTATGTGACAGTGATCAACGAAAATATATCATAACGTTTACACCGATTTCTCTAATTCTCTAGTTGATATGATAGAACAGGCCTTTATTGAGATCACAGAATTATTGTCAATATTGTTATTGATCGAAAAACAATCAAAGGGATTGGGCATACGTTCTGACCAATTACAAGGCCCTCTCCTAACAATATGAAACACAACAATTAAAGGTAAAACACGTGATAACAAACTGTTCAGCATATATATATGGCTCATTACGTGAGTTCAATCATTTTTGTTATAAACTATATATCATAGTTTACATTTAAATAGATCAAGCTGGATTGTTCCTTACACGACTTCACAATTTAAGTAAAACCCATACATAGCTTTTTACTTACAATATTAACGTGTGGTTAAAAGGCATATAAACAAATTTGTATATACTTTGACACGATGCCTCTACACAGGTGACGGTCATGGAAGATCCGTGCTCAGAATAGGAGCAGTAGGCACCGTTATTAGATGGAGGGGGGCTGGTACATGTCCGGTGGCGTATTGTAGTTCCGGTTCCGCATGTGACTGAACAACTGGCAGATGACCAACTACTCCACTGACCATCAACTGTTGGATATAAATAAAAGTCCACACATCACACCTGAGTGTTATGGGTTCTCTTCCCTTATTTGTTATTTTCAACTTCATTATCTAACATATAATTCAAATTCAATCAGGAACTACTTTGGTGAAACTTACATTTAAAAAAAAAAAAAAAAAAAAGAATAATAATAGTAACTACATTTTATTTTTTTTATTAAATTGATTATTAAATTTGTTTGTAGCAAGAGTAGCAGTAGTGCTTATGTTTATTGTTTTAAATATGCGACGTTAAATATAAAATCTTGTATCTTGCATCCATTTTTATTTGTTGACATGGCAATAGTTTACAAAAAAAAGACAATGTAAAACACGCACTATTTTATAAAATTTGCTAAACTCAATTCTACCACAACAGATTATTTATTTTTCAACTAGTATTTCATTTTAACCGTGAAAGAAAAGACTTCAGCTATTTGGCTCTGGTTAATCTCGAAAACTCCGCAGTCTTTGTTGTCAACCTTCTTTTCACAGTTAACAGTATAAAGTAAACCTAGATATCGTTACTCTTACGCATTTTCTCTCATCTGAAAAAAAGTTGTTTATTCTTTATTTTTATCAAGTCTGACCTGGACAGGGGTTTGTGTTACAAGTCGTCTGTATCTCCCCATTAGGATGGTTGACGTCGAGATGACAGTAATGTAGGCAATGTTTTACCATATGTCCTCCTCCACATGAGGCGGAACAGGGAGACCAGTCAGACCATTCTAGAAATGAGAATTTGCCATAATTATGAATTTTTAATCTTTATGTTCATCATGCTGAACTCTTTTCAACCGAAGACGAAAGAGATTTGTTTCGGACAGTGTTTCGTATGTACATTTTCCCAAATAGACCGAGTTTGAATATATTCCTACATGTAACGCTGCACAGATTTTGTAGTACCTTTCCATCAACATGAAGTAACGTCTGCTTTTGAAAATGTACAAACAGTCATCATATGTCCAATAGTTGTAGTGACCAATAAAACAAATATCTAGAAGCTTGAATTTGGGTTTTGAAATCCATTAGTGGATGGTCAATATGTGACATATGGACTTTGCATGGCCTGTATCCTTTGGGGAGATAAAGCCAAAACTATTAAATATATATGTTTTGAATAGTTCCATAATGTAAAAATAAGAAAATATAGCGATAGCTAAGTGAAATAAATCGTTTTTGCAAACTTGTTTATTACCAGTCTTTAATCAAAAGAAAACTTTCTTTACATATCACTATTATACAATCTGCTTTGAAGGAGTTACTTCCCCTTCGAGTATCTACAATGTAAATGTCTTAAATATATGTAGACAATGTGTTCACAATGGGATGTAGCTGTAAGGAGAGGACTAAATAGGTAATGACTGAAGCTCCTTCCTGTTGACCTCTTTTGACAATAAAACATGTTAAAAAAATGTCACTTCGCATGTTCCATATACAGAAAAGCTTGTTAGTTAAAATGGTTTATAAAGTTAGGTTGTTATCAGCTGCCATTAGTTATATTAAACCCTGAATATATGAAATGTCTTCTTACCATTTGTAAGCCTTTTTAACAATGCTCCTATTGTCTTACTGGGAACTAACCATATGATTACGTCAGTTTAATAGAGTCTCTATTTAAATCTGATGATATAACTACCATTTTTGAGGTTTCTGTTGTTATCAAGGTGACCGTCACATCTTCATGGATTTCCCATCAGGCATTATAATGAGCGGTTTCCCATTGGTTTTATGGTTGTTGTTTTTGTCTTTTTGCATTGACACTGAATTGCTTTAATATCTTCCTGTTTTGATTATTCGTACATTTCTTTTCCTAGTGTTACCTTTTCCAAAGTCTGCTGTATAAAAACTCAACTACTAGACTGTGCACTATAACATTAGATAAATGAATGTACATTTTAGATACAGTGCCTGTCACATGTCAGCAGCAAGACGATACACAATTATTCAATAGCCTTAAACTAATAAAAAAACTATAGTTGTTATTTTGTTATATACCATTCAAGCTGGAGGAAATGCAATTACAGTCCACTTGACTAATCATGCAATATTTGCACCGTATTTAACTCATTCACCCCTGAAGTTTCATAATGAACTATTCCAACCTTTGAAATGGAAGAAGTCAAATGCGTCTTCAGGGGTAAATGAGTTAATTTTGTCCTTTCGTTTGAAGGCCAGGAAGGCGGAATGCAACATGGAAGATATAATGTGCTGTTATTGTACGGTAACAACAGCTTGTAACACAGATTAAGCATATCGTAGTGTAAGTCCGTTGACGGTCAACGGACTTGCACTGCAGCCTGACAGCACTGTATTCCGTACGCTACCATGCGGGGTTTACATGCAAAAATTCACGGGGGACAACAGATATGTACTCAGGAGCGGAAAATATGAAAACATAAATTCCAAAATCAAAATAAAATACTCTATCCGTAAGGACAAGCAACTGATGCTATGATATTCAAATACAATGAACAAAAAACACCTAATTTATATTAGATCTATTGCAAAATTATCTCCATATATTAATATTTCTAGATCTGTGTCGGTAGGGATAACACTTTAACATACTCTTTATGAGTATATAGATGTATCTCAATGTATGGTTAGATTTTTTATTAAATTATTTTTTTACTTTTTAAGTATCGCAAAAGATGTGTATGTCTTTGTCGGTAGGGATTGGCCCGACCACTATGACTGGTCATAAATCGCATAGGTTACCATGTACAGCTATAAAAATGAATGTATATTACTATCATTGACAAATATTGACTAACAAAATTAACAATAATGATTAAACTCATCACCAGCACTAACACAAAAGTGAGAGTGGAAGAGAATAAAAAAATCTGTCCTGTTAGAGAGTAAGAATGCGATTTATTACTGTTAGTAAGAAAGAGATTTGAATGAAGTATACTAGTTGAGAGTGGACAATTGATGTAATTAAATAAGAATCGCATAGTTTGGAAAATCAATCATAAATAAAAAAAAAAATACAACGCAATAATATAAAAAGTACGATGATGAAATGGCTCGGTTCTAGGCACCAAATATTTCAGACATGAAAAATAAGAATTGAATATGTATGCTAATTTACTCATTTACGAATTTGTCTAACGAAGCTTCATTCATATATGTATATAAAATATTGTAAAAGTCACAACTTACTAGAAATATTAATAAATATTGTGTTTTGCTTTCTACAAAAATACCATATGATAGTCAAATTGAGCCAATACTGAGTACTGATAAAAAGCATATCGTAGTTAAACAAATGTATCATTTCTACATAAGACCATTGTCAGTTTAGGCAAATTGATTTTTTTGTCAAGAAAAAATAACGATAAAAGAAAATGACGGTCTTAAATAAGGAAAAAGGATGAGTTCCGTTGTATCTTGTTCTCACAAAAATGCGTTTTTGTACCTCCAGGACAGGTTGTCACCTGACATGGTTTTGTTTCTGGAGCAGCCCCATTACACTTATCTAAGCATGTCCGAGTCTGAATGCCATCTCCACAGGTTACGCTACAGGTGTACCTTCACTATAGGATGTTAACTCTATCGAACTGGTATGACCTTGCCAACTTAACACATACAAGCATTATCCATGGTCATGCTACCCTATACTAAGAGAGAAACATTCTACCTGGTGGGCAATCTTGTTCCCTGCACACTCTTATTTCATACTGAGTATCATGGTTGCAGTGATTGGTACAATATCGAGTCTGAGTCCCCTCCCCGCACGTCACGCTGCAATCGCCGTAAAGTGACCATTCTAAAAACAGAAACCAAAAACAACACATTATAAATCTATACCTGTTACAACACTGGATAGAATAAATTCACCCTTAAAAAGTGTCGTTAATCATTTGTGTTTAATTTTCCGAAGCAAGTATACCCGACTCTAACCGATATTTTCCATTTTTGTTTTGTTAGGTTTATAATTATTTTTCAATTGAAATTGGTTTGTTTTTATAACGTGTGTTTTGATGGATTTAAGCGTCCTATGTCGGGTCAGGCTTCTTAATGTTATAACGTTATATCTATCTGATGTTTTTTTTTTGGTATAGACCAGTTTTAAACGTATTGTAGCTTATATCTTCATGGTGTTTGTCGGGTTTTTTTCCGTTGATATTTGCTAATTTACATAGGAACTCATTTCTGCACAATAAGCCAACGAGATTGATTTAACCTAAACCTATACCCTTTACCAAGCCTGGTTACTAAACACAACTGTACCTGAATTGTCGGTGTGACCTCCGTGCTGACTAGTTTGGACAGGGTCACAACAAGTACTGTCACATGTATCACAGCCTGGAAACCAGTTATACAAATAATGACAGTAATACGGTTGATTCAAAACATTTCGGAGCTAACATTTTCGTAAATCACCGACCGTGCATATTTTACGGTATTTATGAGTTAGTATTCGTTAGTTATCGAATACTTAACGGGAATATAAAAACCACGTAAAATATACAGAATTTACAGTAAGAAGTAAATAAATGCACACACTATCAGGTTTATTGGCTTAATACAATAAACGTTGTAAATGCTAGAAATTGAACTAGCATAGGCATCATGTGCACAATGTAAACCTGGAATTATACAGTTGACGACTGTTTACGCCTGCTACAAAGACATTGCAGACCTGGAAGAGTGTTGATAGTGCAGGCGAATTTGTTAATGATATCATTAATGTTGTAGGTACCGAAAAGGTTAAGAACATTATTTACAGGAAGTCGGTGGGATGGGGGTGGGGGTTGGGTGGNTTATGAGTGACGCAACAATACACGTCTAACAATACTGAATTATTCTGTAAGACGAGTATAACTTATAAGAAATTTATCGGCAAACATTTACGTTTTCTATTTATTACTCTTTACCTAAATGTTGTTATTTTGAAATATATTTAATTATATATAACCAGTAAAATATCACACCGAAAATTTGTAAATGGATATCTTTAGCGCAGTAAAGAAATACGAAATGTTATATCCTCACATGTGCGTATATAAGGTCCGGTATTGATCTTATATTGACTAATCAGAATGACATTTTTTATTAACTTCATTTAAAGCTACAAATTTTCTTTCAATCAACAATTATCCAAAATATGCAAGATGTGGAGTATACACGGACCGTGTAATACAAGTATACATAAATTACCATTTCTGTCCAGTGTTTTCCCCTCTTTATATTTACAGTTTTCATCATGCGGATGTTGTTCTTCCATTACTAGATCGCCATATTTTATTTAAAAACTTTGAAAGAAAGCATTTGGTCAGATTTCTTAAACTAGCTTTATGCCTATGAATACAGTTTAGACATCAATCGAAGACTGCTGTTTTTAATCAAATTAAATCTACATTGCTTTTCTGCTCTGAATCATCACTGCGTGAATGGACGATTTTGATAAACCTGAAATTTCACCACGCTAAGGAACTGTAATGCGCAAAACAATCGTATACTGTTTTACATTGTGTTCTAGTTAAACGACGGCGGCTTTATTTTTAAAGAAATAGCTATAATAACACTACTAACTTAAAGGGCGGAACGGCAGACGTTCAGGGCAGGGCTTAACACAGAGTTGCTGTATATTTCCTCAACATAATCGACGTTCTTAGCCTTAAAGCAGTTGTATTTTGTCAACAATATTAACTCCAGAAATAACAAATAATATGAATCGTTATATATCAGGATATTTCTTGTTGTTACCGTGACCCGCATGATCACTAGTGTGGTAGTGATGGGTACCAGCTCTCACACAACAATGGTCCATGCAATGCGATGGACAAGTAGCCCTCTTCAATAGACCTGCATCTGTCAAAATGTAAAAAAGAAAATATTTACCCATGTACAAGCAACGAATCATTAATATTAACATTTATTTTTACAACTTTGTATCTTCGTGTATATATTTTATAAAGAATCTAACGAATTTCTTAGTACATCTTATTTGATAACAACAAGATCATAACACGCAGGCAATTACATAATAAATATGTACTCTCCAAAGGAAATGCCATTCTGATTAAGTAGCAGTTATTTAGGAATGAATGATTAACATATAATGGCTATGCTATAATATTAAACGCAATACGTCAGTAGATATACAACATCATTTGATATTTCGCGCACTTTTGTGTTACATTTCACCGATGAATACATCTACAAATATTTGTTAAAGATTTGCCCTGACTAGAATTTTAAATACTTGCTATGTATCTCTTTTTAAGCAAAGGGTTGCCAAATATTAAATTCTTACACATCCCCATGTATTTCAACCTGAGTCCAATCAAAAACAAAAAGACAACAATACATAACATTGCAGTAAACGTAGATGAGAACATGATGAACCTAACATGGGCAGTCCTTCAGGTTGACACCATTAGCGTGATGAACGAAGCCAGACTGAAAACAAAGAAAACACAGAGTATGTGAACACTGATCTGTTTTATAATATGTCAGCTAACAAACAATGGGTGTTTTTTGAACTGTGAGGTTCAAGTCTCTATTCAGATTAATTCGGTATACATTCTAGTTTTAGTTTTAGAGAGTCTCGAAAAAATATTACTTCTAATCAAAATTTCTTTATCTGGTTAAATGGTTGATAATTTTGAAGCCATTTTTTCACATAAGCAATTCTTCTCCAATACATTTTCGTGGTGTGTCAGTATGTTTTCATATGCACATTATTTAACATTAATCATTTAGTAAATGCGAAATAAGTAAAAACAATCCATTTAACCATCAAAATAAAATTTAAATATTTAAAAAGTCATTAGAATAATAATGAGAATAAACGATGCTTGTATAATCCTTTAACCTTTTGAATTGCACTTGTACATGATCATGTAAAGTATATGTCAGTAAAGGAGATAACTTAAAGACATACTACTGTACATAGTATGGTATATATATATGAAAGTATTCTTATTGCATATAGATTCCGCAGTGACAAGACAAAATCGTCGGAAAATGTTAAATTGTTATGACACTAAATAACCAGATGTTATTACATTGTTATTCCTTTCCAGTTAACATAGCGTTTTATTGGAACAAATAATGTTATTATGAGGATTATATATACGATATCTTAATTTTACAATTTGCTGTAAGCAAATTAGATACCTTTTCAGTTGTTTTTATTTGTATCCATGGTCCATGATGTTCAAACTGGGAAGTATTCAAACAGGAACCGGAAGTCAGCACATCTACTGTAATTGCGCTGTGTGTTGGTGCCTTAAGCATAGTCATATCTGAGTCGGTGCACCAACACTGATCGTTGGCTTGTGTAAGGTCAAAGACCAAGCAACAGACTAGAAATACTAGAGACCGCATGCCTGGGAACCAACAGAGGAGAGGAAGCGTATTTATTTAGGTGACGATTATAGGTTAACTATATATGATATATATATATATATATAGGTGACGATTATAGGTTAACTATATATGATATATATATATACGGAAATTACGATAATGTACAATGTTAACACACTAACGCTATAATTTAAAATACTTAAACCTTACTTTGTTATCAAAAACGAGTGTCGTGTTTTATAGTACTTAGATCAATGATTAATTTTTTAATATAAATTCTTCTCAATAACAAAATACAAATCGAGAACAAAACAAACCTAAAAGCAGAATGCAAAAACTGCAAACAAATACCAACTGTGTAATGTGAGATAAGCTGATATGCACACATTTTTGTATTGTAAATGCTACATTATTGAAATGCATTTTTGTTGTCTTGCATCATAGTCATCCTCGATAATCCGGGGTTACGTCATCCTCGGTATCCAGGGGTTACGCTCGCTTTCGCTCTCTGCACCCCTTGAATATGTCATAGCAAACGTGAAGGCACGACGATAGCTGTTTGATTGGTCTCAGGGTAAAAAAACTGGCCAATCGCTAGGCTGATACCTGTCCTTTGATGATTACAAAGGAGAGACGCCCGCCTTCAAAGCCTGTCAATTTTTACCGTTACGTGACCGCGAGATTATTTTGATGTACATCAAAAGATCGAACTAGTTTGCTTGTCTAATCAGCAAGGTGGCGCACACTGAACCTTCAATTTTGCTATGACATATTCCAGGGGTGCAGAGAGCGAAAGTGAGCGTAACCCCTGGATGTCGAGGATGACGTAACCCCTGGATGTCGCGGATGCATGATGGTAAGATCACAATGTCCTGTAGTGGTATGCTGTGCAGCTGTGCTCAACTTTGATTAATGATCAGGTAATCATTTTTGAAGATATATTTAGTCGGCTTGATCTCCCAGGTAAACGTCAACCCCACAGGTAATTTTAGTCTGCGTGTACAAACATGTATACTTTATATCTAACACACCAGCAGTATAATAATATGACTAAATATCATTAAGTGATGTTATTCGTTAACATTCTCAACCTACGAGCGGTTATCTAACCTGCCGTAAGAGGCACGATTGTACATTACTTTCGTAACCCTTGCTCATATCCATACACAGTACTAAGTCCACGTATACCTTCTGGTAGATGATTTATATAAAATTTACCTGTTGTAAAATCACTTTGTAATGAAACAACACAATTTAATCGAGACATTACCTTCTATTGATGAGGTACGCTACGTTGTAGTGGTAGACATATGGTGTATCTACTTATCTACCAACTTCGTGATAGCGAGATTTTTAAAAAGGTCAAGGTAATTTGTCCCACGTTTTAAAATTCCATTGATATAGCCAACTGTTCAAAATACGTTGTTCTATATGTGCACGTGAAGATCAAAGGTCTTTGTTTTGATTTATTTTTGTTTGTTTTCAATAGATATCCATATAATATTCAACCCAGATACATAACATAACTAAATTTACTTTGAAACCGAGGAGACACCAATATTAACAAATTTCGATAAAGCGTAAAAGGCTAATAACCAAAATTGATTTAGTTATATAGTAAGCCAGGATGTTAAAATCAAAAGTAATATTACCTATTAGTCAGCAATCCATAACAATCCTACGGTCTATTAAACGTAAAAAGAATAAGATCGTGTAAAAAAAGCTAAATCATAATTAAATGGCATCAATGCAGTTAATAAGGGCTTTATTACAATTAAGATTCCGCGTTATTACAATGTAAAACGTATCAACTCAGTTGGGTTTTTATGTCGTTTAAGGTATTTTTTATCGTTCTACCATCTGACAGTAAAATATCGGCTTGGAAGGTTGGGGTGTTTTGAGTCGTCTGTAAGGTGTGTCCCGGTAATGTACGGGATGTCTATAACAGTTGGTACTCCAGAACACGCTAGGGTGGCCATCTAATCAATGTAAAATAGAAGTCATTAATATACTAATGCGTATTAAATTAGACAAAGGGAAACTCAAACTCGATACAACAATACAGCAAGACACAATATAAAGGGAAGGACAGAAAAATACCTGAAGTATGTGTTCCGGAAATGTAACATTTTCCTACATTTCACGTGGTATCCGACAAAGTGCCATTTAATCAGTAACGCTATACACTTCTAGTACGTTACAGTTAGGACATGATGTTTTTATGGACATAGTTTTCACGCAGTCTGAAATCTCTTATCTTTGAAGCAACAGACCGAGAAGGTCTGTATCGCTAACGTAGATATTTAAGCAATCAGAGCTAAGTATTTTCATTAAATATTACGCTGCAAATATTTCCAAATATTGGCTCTGTCTCTCAGCAATTCCCTAACCTTGTTCGTTGCCATGTTTATTCCTCCATAGATGGTGGTGGTGGTAGGGGGGATATTGGGGTACACATCCAGGGTTTACACATATTTGAACCCGTTCGGGTCAAGGATACTCTTTTAATAGGATTTTGAGTCCCCTTGCCCAAGGATTTTTATTACCAAGTTTGGTTAAAATCCTTCCATTCAACTAGAAGAAGAAGACTTTAAAACATTTGTTTCCATTTTTCCCTATTAGGCCCCACAATGTCCCCCTCTCTGTTTATAAACAATGAGTCCCCCTAGCCAAAGCATGCTCAGGACCTAATACATCCAATCGTACAGAAACAGAGAGGTTTTAAAGATTTATCTCGATTCCCCTATAGGGCCACGCCCCTCTGTCCAAAGAGTGTGATGCTAAATATTCCTGTATCACAGAAATATTTACAATGTCCTCTTCACCTAAGGTAGATATCATTGTGCGGATAGCAATAATATAAAGCAAGGCCGTTACATTTTGCAAAGGCGCAGCACATCACTTCTGTTTTACCCAATGCTTCATATGATATAACAAAACGGATGACGCTACAATGATGACTATTACTATTGACAACAGTAACAGGGTATGGATGTTGCGAGAGTAGAGGAATATTAAAGTATAAGCTCATTTACTTATTGATTATCAATGTTAAGCAGTAAATATATTTGCATTCTTTTGCAAAGAATTCTTCTATGAAAAGTAAAACTTCTATATTTATTGTTACTTAAAAAAAGTATTACCTTAAATCCATGTTGTGTACATGCTATGAAAACACCGCTGTATCCTTCGTGTAAACGATCCTGTTGGTAGGTGTCGTTCCAAAAGGTCCCTACTGGTGTATAGGGAGGTATCTGTCGAGTTGTGTTACACTCCATCGCTACCTGTGGAAAGTAGCGTCACATACAATATTGTTTCACTACATCTTAGTCTACCTGAGTCTTCATGAGTCTACCTGAGTCTACCTGAGTCTTCATGAGTCTACCTGAGTCTTCATGAGTCTACCTGAGACAAACTGTATCGAGTTTCTACAGGTCTTTCGCGGTCGCTGGCCTTCCTTCCTGTCTATTTCAATTACCGTTTATTTATTTTTTCAATTTGATAGGTTATATATACTTGCATGTGCTTATTTCTTATTGTTGGATTAGCAACTATTTTATCTTTCTTTGCAGAAGGTTTGTTTGTGAACGATAACATCCATATTCGCCAGGATTTTTTTTTGCGATCGGAAGCTAAAATACTTTAATAATCTGTGAATATATAGTTGTCGTCATGATGGATTCGCCATTAAAGCAATGTAATAAACGCGCTCACGTTAACGTATTATTTTGGTACATGTTTGATTCTATAAACAGGTACTGTCCACCAGAATATGTATACTTCTTTATTACCTTTATTATCTAATCTACCATTGGTGTGAAATCGAAACAAAGGAATGGTTAGAACTATTTAAAAGAATCATATGATACTCTGGGTAATATTCTCTACGTTGAAAAAATAGTATCCCCTTGGTTATGTAAGAGCGAATATTATTTCTACTGTGGAGGACGGAAATTCAACAGGATTAAAATGGATTTTAATGTTGAATGGTGAATATTTCACCGTACAAAAAAACCCATGAAAACTGGATCTAATTATCTGCCTTTATTAGATGTGTTTGTTTTAATATACTTCACCGATATTCCCTTATGCCACAGGCTTGGATCTGTAGGTATTCCGGGACAGTTTGCCAATAGGAAGTGCTCGGTTTTTGACGCCCAACTATCTGGACAGTGAGTGACAGAAGTTGTGTTTATCTCAGCGAGAGAGTGGAGTATCGCCATCTTATCACAGACATGGGCGGATCCTTGTATTACACCTGGTCATGGAAACCAAACTTGTAGTAACGGAAACGTTTTTCAACTTGTTATTCTATGTAGTATTTATTTGGTTCAATCAAAATACAAAGAAATATACATACAATATAGTTTAAGTTATTGTTAGCTATAGCAACGTGAACGATTTTGTACGTAAATGTCAGTTACTCTGTGCAAAGCAAAGTGAGATTCCATCAATTGGACATGCTATATAAGTAGAGAGGTCCTGCTTTCGAATGGTTTCATGGCCCCTCACCAACAAGTTTTTTTTTTTTTTTTTTTTTTTTTCGTTAGGAACCTACCCTGACGTCCGATGACAATCTTGTTCTATACTATAAATCACCAGCGAAACTGTGAAGAAGTCCACAAAGGTGTATATGCAGCTTCCTTTGATCTACGTATTCAAACTTTGTTTGCATGAGGTATAATATCACAATCAAATCCCTTCCTTCGTGCGCATTCACATATGACATTCCTTCCTTGTGCAAATTAAAACAATCTAACGAAAAGTTAAGTTGCTCTAACAAGGTTTCTGAAGAGGAAATTAAAGTTTTGCAAATTTCTTTCTTTGTGCATATCGACAGATGATTTAACTTGAAAAATCTCCATTGAAATATTGTGCAGTTTGCATGATATCAGCTGCGCTTTACAGATTAAAAAATGTTTGTTAGGGAATACAATATATTCCAATAAGATATTACAAATTTGTTTCTTGTCGCAATGACATGCGTCAATGAATAAATAAACGGGAATGCACTAGTCAATGAATAAATTAACGGGGACGCACTAGTCAATGACTAAATTAACGGGGACGCACTAGTCAATGAACAAATGAACGGGAACGCACAAGTCAATGAATAAATAAACGGGAACGCACTGGTCAATGAATAAATTAACGGGAACGCACTAGTCAATGAAGAAATTAACGAGGACGCACTAGTCAATGAATAAATTAACGGGAACGCACTCGCCAATGAATAAATTAACGGGAACGCACTAGTCAATGAACAAATTAACGGGGACGCACTAGTCAATGAATAAATTAACGGCGACGCACTAGTCAATGAATAAATTAACGGGGACGCACTAGTCAATGACTAAATTAACGGGGACGCACTAGTCAATGAACAAATGAACGGGAACGCACAAGTCAATGAATAAATAAACGGGAACGCACTGGTCAATGAATAAATTAACGGGAACGCACTAGTCAATGAAGAAATTAACGAGGACGCACTAGTCAATGAATAAATTAACGGGAACGCCCTCGCCAATAAATAAATTAACGGGAACGCATTAGTCAATGAATAAATTAACGGGAACGCAATAGTCGAATAAATTAACGGGTCGTACTAGTCAATGAATAAATTAACGGGGACGCACTAGTCAATGAACAAATGAACGGGAACGCACAAGTCAATGAATAAATAAACGGGAACGCACTGGTCAATGAATAAATTAACGGGAACGCACTAGTCAATGAATAAATTAACGGGGACGCACAAGTCAATGAATAAATTAACGGGAACGTACTGGTCAATGAATAAATTAACGGGAACGCACTAGTCAATGAAGAAATTAACGAGGACGCACTAGTCAATGAATAAATTAACGGGAACGCCCTCGCCAATAAATAAATTAACGGGAACGCATTAGTCAATGAATAAATTAACGGGAACGCAATAGTCGAATAAATTAACGGGTCGTACTAGTCAATGAATAAATTAACGGGGACGCACTAATCAATGAATAAATTAACGGGGACGCACTAGTCAATGACTAAATTAACGGGGACGCACTAGTCAATGAACAAATGAACGGGAACGCACAAGTCAATGAATAAATAAACGGGAACGCACTGGTCAATGAATAAATTAACGGGGACGCACTAGTCAATGAACAAATTAACGGGAACGCACAAGTCAAAGAATAAATAAACGGGAACGCACTGGTCAATGAATAAATTAACGGGGACGCACTAGTCAATGACTAAATTAACGGGGACGCACTAGTCAATGAACAAATGAACGGGAACGCACAAGTCAATGAATAAATAAACGGGAACGCACTGGTCAATGAATAAATTAACGGGGACGCACTAGTCAATGACTAAATTAACGGGGACGCACTAGTCAATGAACAAATGAACGGGAACGCACAAGTCAATGAATAAATAAACGGGAACGCACTGGTCAATGAATAAATTAACGGGAGCGCACTAGTCAATGAATAAATTAACGGGAACGCACTAGTCAATGAATAAATTAACGGGAACGCACAAGTCAATGAATAATTAACGGGAACGCACTGGTCAATGAATAAATTAACGGGGACGCACTAGTCAATGAATAAATTAACGGGAACGCGATAGTCGAATAAATTAACAGGTCGTATTAGTCAATGAATAAATTAACGGTAACGCAATAGTCGAATAAATTAACAGGTCGTATTAGTCAATGAATAAATTAACGGTAACGCAATAGTCGAATAAATTAACAGGTCGTATTAGTCAATGAATAAATTAACGGGAACGCACAAGTCAATGAATAAATTAACGGGAACGCACTCGCCAATAAATAAATTAACGGGAACACATTAGTCAATGAATAAATTAACGGGAACGCAATAGTCGAATAAATTAACAGGTCGTACTAGTCAATGAATAAATTAACGGGGACGCACTAGTCAATGAATAAATTAACGGGGACACACGGGTCAATGAATAAATTAACGGGAACGCACTCGCCAATAAATAAATTAACGGGAACACATAGTCAATGAATAAATTAACGGGAACGCAATAGTCGAATAAATTAACAGGTGGTACTAGTCAATGAATAAATTAACGGGGACGCACTAGTAAATGAATAAATTAACGGGGACGCACTAGTCAATGAACAAATTAACGGGAACGCGCTCGCCAATGAATAAATTAACGGGAACGCACAAGTCAATGAATAATTAACGGGAAGGCACTGGTCAATGAATAAATTAACGGGAACGCACAAGTCAATGAATAAATTAACGGGAACGCACTAGTCAATGAACAAATTAACGGGAACGCGCTCGCCAATGAATAAATTAACGGGAACGCACTTGTCAATGAACAAATTAACGGGAACGCACTAGTCAATGAATTAATTGACGGGGACGCACTAGTCAATGAATAAATTAACGGGAACGCACTAGTCAGTGAACAAATTAACGGGAACGCGCTCGCCAATGAATAAATTAACGGGAACGCACTTGTCAATGAACAAATTAACGGGAACGCACTAGTCAATGAATAAATTAACGGGGACGCACTAGTCAATGAACAAATTAAAGGGGCCGCACTAGCTATGTTTTGCCAGGTGGTTATGCATACTCAAAGAAAGCTGTAAAGCGAATTTGTCAAGTTAACATGCATTGTCAATGACATTTCGATACGAAATAATTATCAATCATATTGAGTTGCACAATTTCCTTTCCTGTTTATCTACAATGTGTAATACCCCATGCATGGTAAAGTATTGCTTGAAGATTATGTTTGTATACCTTTATATTTGATTTCATTGCGTGAAATGCAAAAATATGTAGCAGATTATATGTCCTTTTTCGTTTCGAGTACTATACTTGTATTTCAGGACTAAAGATGATTACTTTACATTTAACAAAGATAGGAATCACAAAGTATATAATCTAAGAAACTTATTCTTACCAGTTAAAACATAACTAATTTGAGTAGGAAATTAAGCAAGGGATATTAATTCTAAAATTCACAAAGGTAAGCATATTAACTAAATTTCTGAAAGTGTTGGCAGAATTTCACAAACTCTGTTAGCTTTAAAACAATAAATAGTATTCTCGATTTGGTCAGTATACTCAGTATTATTTTCAAAGCTAGGCGAATATCAACTTTATTTTTTAAAAGTTTTTTTGTATATTGAGAAGTTTTCAGTTTTCAAATCACTGACTGGCGTTTTTATTTCTAATGTTATATTAAGTTGTCGATTTACTAAACAATGTCAAAAATAATTTAATAACGCATCAGCTTGCATATCAACAAACTTTCGAAAGAAGCTACAAAGAATGAATAGGATTGTGTTTTTTTCAGTTTTTGCACGAACATTTCACTCAATTAGTTTCGATATATTCGAGTAACCCCAATTTTGCCCCTTATTGGTCATAAGTGCAATGAAAACAAAATAATTGAAAATATCAAATTATGCTGTTAAAACTAGGTACGTACTTGGACACGGACCATAGTTGCATGCTAGTACTCCATTGGCATGGACACCCTGACAGTTACTAACACAATGTCGCCTCATGTGACCACTGCCACAGGTTACACTACAATCTCCCCACTCGGACCACACTGCGTCAAAACAATCAAAGTGGTATTGCATTCTACTCGCTCTGGTCAATAAAATGTAAAGTTCCACGTTTTTCTTAGTTTGATATTTCTTGATGATTTACAATCTAGTCGTAACACTCAAGATAACTTGGCTTTTATTCAGAATTTTGAGCGGATTTGAATATGCATTCGAATACATGTATTAGACATTTACAATATATAGCACTTGCAGCAATAAGCAATCGTAATGAAATCATGTTTCCATAACCTTATTTGACATTTTTACAATTTATCTACGTATTGTCTTGCCAATTTTGACATCAGATTTATAAAAGATCGTTTCTGATAACGACACAATTCTGAACAATAATATAAACAGCAAAATATTCCAATATTTTGTCTTTAAAGCATCTCCTTACAGAAACCAGAAGACGTAATTGTTAAACCAATAAATACAGATTATACCTACCTGCGCATGCTCCGTGGTTACATGGTCTGGTTTCTGTTGCGCGATGATGGTCAGGACAATAGTTCCGACAGTGGCGACTTTGGGTGCCTTTCCCACATGTTACACTACAGCCTCCCCAGTCTGTCCAGTCTGTGATTACGTCATCAACCAAATAATACAAGTATTTTGCAAGTAATACTTTTCATGCATATTATCCATATCCGGAGGAAATACACACTTGCCTAATGCAGTGTTGTTAACTGTTGCAAAGCCTGATTTATAACGATCCTTGTACCCACCGAGAAATTTATGTTCGAGTAAATTCGGATATTTTAGTATCAGGATTATATCTACATCCGTGCATAAAACGTCGGATTCATAATGTTTGTGAAGACAAAGCCAACAATGCTGAATAAGAAACGTCCCCCTAGGGCTAGAATGAGCACAATACTTTAAATTAAACATTCAAATCACTGTTTCTTAAGTTTCCCAAAATCTCCGATGACAAAACACTACATATTTTATTTGTAATTTTAATTATAGTTTCCATGGAAATATGTAGTCATAAAACACCGTCAGGTGAAGTATAAAGTTTGTGCAAAACAGTATGGGGGAGTTATATAAAATTTACAATCAATGATTGTTATATACTCTGTAATGTTGACGGAATTCCCAAATCATAAATTTTGATTTTAATTTTATTCAGAATACGAAAGCAGCAAAACAGATAACCAGACATCTTTTTCTGAAAAGAAAACTGAATGTATTGACGAGTTCTAATCTTTATAGTCTTATTTTCACTTACTCAAGCAATTAACCCAGCTTGAACAAAATAAAATTCGGAATTGAAACCATACGATATGTTTAAAATTAATTGTTCGGATAAAGTGTAAAATTGCAATATATGTATCTTAAACTTTAATAATCCTATCGCAATAACTCTCCTCCATAATGTTAATTACATAAATGGCGACTCATACAGGTATTCTTTAGTATCTTTACTGCATATATTAGTTGAACTGAATGCTGAAAGAGTAATAGTCAATGGCGTCATTAGTTGTTTTTTCGATATGGATTTATCTCTATATATATGTAGACGAAGGAGAGGGACTATTTTATATAAATTAAAACTTACGGGGACACTGTCCGTGGTGACATTTCCTGGTTTCTGCCACGTGCTGTACATTTGTACAGTGTTGTAAACAGTGCCGTGGTTGAGTACCATATCCGCAGGTTACACTACAGGTTCCCCAGTCACTCCAGACTGATACACAATTAGTACATAAAACAAACGCGTTTATTCTTTGAAAAGCATATCGTGACCATGACTTGACCTTTATAGAATACATGAGCGCCATACTTAGAGTGCAATCAGCGCTAAATTAGGACTACAGCTAAACAACATTATATTTCCGCGTTGGTTTTCTCTCTTATAAATGGTTCCAAAACCAAAGCATCATAAGAAATCCCATTCAATAGGAAAAATGGTTTCAATGTTTATTTCAACTTCATCTGCTGTCGAAGAGTTAGCGTCATGGCAGTATTTTTATATTTCAAATACTTCTCTTAACTCACAGAACACATGGCTGGCTAACCCTAACCCTAACCCTAACCTCACTGAACACATGGCTGGCTGCGTCAAACGGACCCATTGATTTGAAATCATCAGAAAACCATTGGTACATTTCATGAATGTGAAACAAAGTCTACCAAACATATTGAATTAAACGACGGGATATAACAATTAAGTATCATAAAACTCTCTAAAGATTTGAATGCTGTTTGGGACTTAATATACTAAATGAAAGTGGTGTATCGTATATAAAATTATAAACCAAGAGCCTATGACTTAAATAGTGTTCAAAATATGATCGGAGTCTGTAATAGCAGTGCATTGAATGCTTTTACATACAAACCTGAACAGGCTGGCATACTACAGGTGCGGGTCTCTGAATGGCTGTGTATATGGGAGCAGTGGTGACAATGCCTTACTTGTGATCCCGTCCCACAGGTAGCGCTGCAGTCACTCCAATCCCCCCAAACTGTATTTATCAATTGAGTAAACCGAATAAAAACCTGACTAATCTGAACACCATATTTAATGCTATATATTAGCAATAGAAATGTTTGTGCGATGAATGCTTTCATTTGATATAGAGGGTCATAGTTTTATGTGGCCACATTGTCGATTTATACAGATTACCAGATTATATATGGGTTGGTATATCAATTATACAAAGACATTGTGTATGATATTAACCTTATTGTGAACTGATCACATATACTTATATAATAACTTCATCAATTTTACTCTGCATGCATACAACGAAAACTAGGGGCTATTTTTAGAACAATTTTCATTCTTTTGTTTTATTATTAAATTTCTTGTTTTCCATTTATACAACTACTTTTGTCAACATAGAATTACTACATGTATCAGCATTAATAAAAAGGATATTCAACCTTTCGTACAAATTACACGTTGTCGCATCCGCGTACATGTCGGTTTTGAGCACAGTCGGAAAACAATTCTGAGGTTTACACTTCATTGTCGAGGAATTATAGTAGCGATTATTTGAATCATTTGCAAATTGTTTAGACGATATTGACATTTTGAGGCATTTATAGAAAACAACGGTTAGAATCAAGGATTTGGCTACGAAAAGTGTCATTTATAAAAAGGACAAATTATAACTTCTGTATTTTATTACTTAAGGTTTATACACTTTAAAACGTAGAGTCTACGGCATGCTCTTGAATTAAATTGTAAAATACTGTTACATTTACCCCCCGTTCCTTCTTACCTATGACATGTTGGTCAGCTCGTTTGGATTTGCGACAGCAATCATTTTCACAACTCGAGCATCCTAGATCATCAGTGAATATTGTTGATATACAAGTGTTACTAATTACACAGGTTATGCAAAGAGTATAATAATTGAAAAGCTCGTGCCTTTGTTACTTGAAAACACACAAAGCCAGAAAGAGTTAGATGTACATATACAATGTATCACCCTTGGCCCGTTCTTTCTATTGTAATTGCTTGATATATACTGCATGAGATTTCAAGAAAACAATTAATTATGAAATTATTAGCAGATGTTATTTATCTAACATCTGTTGCAAGATAACACTATACAAAACAACTAAATAAGGGTGTTATTAAAATGTAAGTGACCAAACAAGATCATATTGAGTACCTCTAGGTAGAAACGTACTGATATGTAAATTGTCACCAAATGACATACCTTTGCATTCTCAATAGACTATAGGTTCTGTCAGGTGTACAAATCCATGCTGTAACACAAAATCAAGAGAATACAGAATTGTCATAAAAAAATGAATCAAACTCAAATTCGATAAAGCTAGGGCAAAAATATGAACGATTGAACGGTTCACATGGAGACCGTTGAACAAGTTCAAGGTGAATAAGATCAGGTATTCCGGGAGGGTATGTTAGCGTCTCCTGCTTTTGAATCCATGTCAGTTTCTCACATTGAGGGCGTTATTCGAAATTCTTGAACGGTTACTTTATCCTAGTTGTTTTACCATTTTTCCTTTTTTCTTTACTCACATCAGAGAGTATTTAATATTTTTCTCGTTATAATTTACATATCCAAAACATTGTTAAAGAAAGCACGTGCGTAGATAATATTATTATATGTTACTTAACTGGTTAATAATGCTGCCTCTATGGAAGTTTATTACAATATATATTAACCGTAAAAGGAATTGATTGGCTAAGCTCATTCAGTGTATGGCCAACCAAACTTATTTTATTCTTAATCAAATGATCACTTGTTTTATCTCACAAATGCATATGCACGTATATCTATATATTGTCATGTTATTGTGAGGATTTTGAAAAATCATAAGCAAACCAACTTCTAACTACAGTTTAGTGTTACGGTACAGAACATTACTTAGTTTCCCTGCTACCTACATTCGTTTGGTTTATATATAACGATCAACTTAGGATGTTTTCGGAAAAGAGTTAAATTAAGCATGTGTATCAGAGTATACTTAAAATCTACGCAATCTAAAAACGTTACCCGGTAAATTTGTTTAATAATGATACATATCAGTGTCAGTTACCATCTGTGCTTAGTCGTTAGATAGTCTTGCGTTGATCAAAACGTGATTTAAATAACGGTTAGTACCACATTCAGTGACATAACTTTTCAAATCGACAGTTTTAAACTTTAACAATTTGCGAACTTTATAGTTAAAGAATAGAAAATGTACTTCTCGGACTGAAAATAATTGAGCACGTACCTGTGTCATATGCGAGATAGCATATTTATATATCAACTGAGACATCAAATCAACCAACATGAATATGAAAATTATGACTTATAACAACCTTCATCCTGGCACCAAATATATGGGCCCATGGATACATTATTGTATGCTGGGATTGGTTCAGACACGATTCCGCTGTGAGGATATCGACGACAGGCGCATTGGTACTGGCTGTAATCCGTACTTCAGTGTTGGAAACAGCACATAAGCACTTCTCTCCTCCAGCAGCGTCAACGAAGAGGAACGCAACCAGGAGTGTCACGTTTACTTGGAACATTCCGGCTAGGGGAAATACAGTTTGTCTTTGAACGTTCTAGCTAAAGGAATAGCAGTCTGGTGATTAACATTCCGGCTAGAGGAAATACAGTTTGTATTTGAACTTTCTAGCTAAAGGAATAGCAGTCTGGTGATGAACATTCCGGCGAGAGAAAATACAATTTGTCTTTGAACGTTCTAGCTAAAGGAATGACAGTCTGGTGATAAACATTCCGGCTAGAGGAGTGTCACGTTTACTTGGAACATTCCGGCTAGGGGAAATCCAGTTTGTCTTTGAACGTTCTAGCTAAAGGAATAGCAGACTGGTGATAAACATTCCAGCTAGAGAAATACAATTTGTCTTTGAACGTTCTAGCTAAAGGAATAGCAGTCTGTTGATAAACATTCCAGCTAGAGAAATACAATTTGTCTTTGAACTTTCTAGCTAAAGGAATAGCAGTCTGGTGCTAAACATTCCGGCTAGAGGAAATACAGTTTGTATTTGAACTTTCTAGCTAAAGGAATAGCAGTCTGGTGATGAACATTCCGGCGAGAGAAAATACAATTTGTCTTTGAACGTTCTAGCTAAAGGAATGGCAGTCTGGTGATAAACATTCCGGCTAGAGGAAATACAGTTTGTATTTGAACTTTCTAGCTAAAGGAATAGCAGTCTGGTGCTAAACATTCCGGCTAGAGGAAATACAGTTTGTATTTGAACTTTCTAGCTAAAGGAATAGCAGTCTGGTGCTAAACATTCCGGCTAGAGGAAATACAGTTTGTCTTTGAACGTTCTAGCTAAAGGAATAGCAGACTGGTGATAAACATTCCAGCTAGAGAAATACAATTTGTCTTTGAACGTTCTAGCTAAAGGAATAGCAGTCTGGTGCTAAACATTCCGGCTAGAGGAAATACAGTTTGTCTTTGAACGTTCTAGCTAAAGGAATAGCAGTCTGTTGATAAACATTCCAGCTAGAGAAATACAATTTGTCTTTGAACTTTCTAGCTAAAGGAATGGCAGTCTGGCGCGAAAAATTCCGGCTAGAGGAAATACAATTTTTCTTTGAAATTTCCAGCTAAAGGAATGGCAATCTAACGTGAAACATACCGGCTAGAGGAAATATAACTTCCCTTTAAAATTTCCAGCTAATGGAATGGAAGTCTAACGTGAAACATTCCAGCTAGAGGAAATACAATTTGTCTTTGAACTTTCTAGCTAAAGGAATGGCAGTCTAACGTGAAACATTCCAGCTAGAGGAAATATAATTTGTCTTTGAACTTTCTAGCTAAAGGAAAAGCAGTCTGGCGTGAAACATACCGGCTAGAGGAAATAAATTTGTCTTTGAACTTTCCAGCTAAAGGAATAGCAGTCTGGCGTGAAACATACCGGCTAGAGGAAATACAATTTGTCTTTGAACTTTCCAGCTAAAGGAATGGCAGTCTAACGTGTAACATTCCAGCTAGAGGAAATACAATTTGTCTTTGAACTTTCTAGCTAAAGAAATGCCAGTCTGGCGTGAACATTCCAGCTAGAGAAAATACGATTTGTCTTTGAACTTTCTAGCTAAAGGAATGGCAGTCTGGCGTGAAACATTCCAGCTAGAGGAAATACAATTTGTCTTTGAACTTTCTAGCTAAACGAATGGCAGTCTGGCGTGAAACACATACCGGCTAGAGGAAATACAATTTGTCTTTAAACTGTCCAGCTAAAGGAATGGCAGTCTAACGTGTAACATTCCAGCTAGAGGAAATACAATTTGTCTTTCTCGCTAAAGGAAAAGCACTCTGTCGTAAAACACATACAGGCTAGAGTAAAAACAAATTGTCTTACTTTCCAGCTAATGGAATGGCAGTCCTACGTGAAACATTCCAGCTAGCGGAAATATAATTTGTCTTTGAACTTTCTAGCTAAAGAAAAAGCAGTCTGGCGTGAAACATACCGGCATACCGGCTAGAGGAAATACAATTTCTCTTTAAACCTTCCAGCGAAAGAATGGCAGTCTAACGTGTAACATTCCAGCTAGAGGAAATACAATTTGTCTTTGAACTTCCTCGCTAAAGGAAAAACACTCTGTCGTAAAACACATAACAGGCTAGAGTAAAAACAAATTGTCTTTAAACTTTCCAGCTAATGGATCGGCAGTCCTACGTGAAACATTCCAGCTAGAGGAAATATAATTTGTCTTTGAACTTTCTAGCTAAAGAAAAAGCAGTCTGGCGTGAAACATACCGGCATACCGGCTAGAGGAAATACAATTTGTCTTTAAACTTTCTAGCTAAAGGAATGGCAGTCTCGCGTGAAACATTCCAGCTAGAGAAAATACAATTTGTCTTTGAACTTTCTAGCTAAAGGAATGGCAGTCTCGCGTGAAACATTCCAGCTAGAGAAAATACAATTTGTCTTTAAACTTTCTAGCTAAAGGAATGGCAGTCTCGCGTGAAACATTCCAGCTAGAGAAAATACAATTTGTCTTTGAACTTTCTAGCTAAAGGAATGGCAGTCTCGCGTGAAACATTCCAGCTAGAGAAAATACAATTTGTCTTTAAACTTTCTAGCTAAAGGAATGGCAGTCTCGCGTGAAACATTCCAGCTAGAGAAAATACAATTTGTCTTTGAACTTTCTAGCTAAAGGAATGGCAGTCTCGCGTGAAACATTCCAGCTAGAGAAAATACAATTTGTCTTTAAACTTTCTAGCTAAAGGAATGGCAGTCTCGCGTGAAACATTCCAGCTAGAGAAAATACAATTTGTCTTTTAACTTTCCAGCTAAAGGAATGGCAGTCTGGCGTGAAACATTCCCGCTAGAGGAAATACAATTTGTTTTTGAATTTTCCAGCTAAAGGAATGGGAGTCTGGCGTGAAACATACATTTTGATTTGTAATATTTCAGCTACAGGTATGTCTATGCCCACTTCAAACATTCCAGTATAAATATTACCTTGACCGTCATTAAATTGTTAAATTACACTATCGACCATAAATAAACCTTGCATTTTTCATTTTTAACACTAATTATAAGCATGTTAATAAGACTGCCTGATTTATTTAGTGCTTAGAAAGTATCACCGACAATATAATAAGTATATGTATTTTGAATTCCAGCTGAGTTACTGTATCTAAATTAATAGAACAATTATTAATTGAAATAGTGAAAGAATTTATAACGTTTGATAAATGGTCATTGTTTTCTACAACGAAAATATACATATAAATGAAATTGAGAATAAAAAAAAAATGCATTTGAAAAATTAATAAAAAGGTTATATATTACTTCTTTAAAACGTTCAGTGGTAACCGAATGAATTTC